CCGCGTATTGTTTTTTACACACAGGATTCCCTAGAGTTGGGTTTTCGCCTGCATGTTTTCCAACATGCTGCTCTCGCTGAGGCGCCGGCCTCATTTTCGGGCCCCGCTCGTTCCGAATCGTGCTCCCGCTGCAGCGCTGGCCTCATTTCCGTGCTTCCGCTCGTTCCGAATCGTGCTCCCGCTGCAGGATTGGCCTCATTTCCGCGCTTCCGCTCGTTCCGACTCGTGCTCCCGCTGCAGCGCTGGCGTCATTTCCCGTGCCATGCCACGACATGCAATGCAATGCTACGTTGATACTACGCTTTGCGGTGCTCTTCTACGCCATGCCATGCCGTGCTCTACAATGCATCGAGTACCCTTTCGGGATCATTGCCCTGTTCGACATCCGACTGTGCGAGTAGAGAGGGGATCTACGCCATGGTAAGAGATGGGGGGGAGGGGTAGGATGTCAGATATGACGCGAGCGCACCTAGCTTGTCCCTCCCCCCCTCCCTCCCTCCCTCCCTCCCTCCTCCTTCTCCTCCTTCTCCTCCTTCTCCTCCTTCTCCTCCTTCTCCTCCTCCTCCTCCTCCTTCTCCTGCTCCTGCTCCTCCTCCTCCTCCTCCTCCTCCTCCTCATCATCATCATCATCGTCATCATCGTCGTCCTCATTCTCATCCTCCACATCCTCCCTCCTCCTCCTCCTCCTCTTCCTCCTCCTCCTCCTCCTCCTCTTTCTCCCTTTCCTCCTCCTCCCTCCTCCCTCCTCCCTCCCCCCTCCTGTTCCTTCTCCCTCCCTCCTCCCTCCTCTCTTCACCATTCCTGGCCAAGGGCCAGGGTCATCCTGGGCCCGAGGACGGTGTTTCGCCTTCCCCCCTGCGCGCACGCGCGCTCGGGCCAGCCGCGGAAAGGGTAGCGCGGAGTGTCCGGTAGCAGGAGTGGCAAACATGGGGTGAAGCAGTGGCAACAGCATCGTGCAGAGGAAGCAGCAGGGCCCGAACTACACTGTGTGCTCCGTTCTCGTATTGCTTGTGTCGCGATTTCCATCATGCTGCTGTCGCTCCGCCCTTGCCGCAGAGCACGGAATCGAACACAAGAGCGGACGACGAGATCGCCGAAACGCCGCGCTCAACTCGAGAGCCCTGGGAGGGCAAGCGCGCCAGCGCACGTGCACGCGCGGGGTCGGGCAGGTGGAGCGGAGGACACGCCCCACCTTGCCCCCCCTCCTCCCCGCCAGGTCTGAGCCCGCTCCTCTGCAGACTCCCGCAGGTAAATCAGCCGCGATCGAGGGGGGGAGTGAGACCTCCCTCCTCCTCCTCCTCCTCCTCCTCCTCATCCTCCCCCTCCTCCTCCCCCTCCTCCTCCCCCTCCTCCTCCTCCTCCTCCTCCTCCTCCTCCACCTCCTCCTCCTCCTCATCCCCCTCCTCCTCCGACGACCTTCTCAGAAGGCGGTGGGGCCTCTCAGAGGGCCTCCTGGCGCCATCCGAGAATATTCGTTCGTTTTCGGGGAAGGCTCAGGACATTTCTCGGAAGGCTTGAGGACTTCCGAGCTTTCCGAGAAGGCGCAGCCCCTCTCGCTGCCCCCCCCCGGGCTCGCCGCCGAGTTTCAGTGCATGGACGGGGGGGGGGTGTGGCGAGGCCCCGAAGTAAAGCTCGGCCCCACACGAGCTGGGACTCGCCTGCGCGCATCTTCGGCCCGGCGCTTTGCACGATGGCGGCGTAGGGGGAGGAAAAAACACCTAGACCCCGACAGTTGGCGTTAACTAAACGGCCCTGGGCGTTCACTAGACAGCCCTGCCCTGTTCGATTCCTTCCCTGGGTGCGTTTACTAAACGGCTTCGCGTGTCGGGGTGATTATTATGGGGGTGGATGTTCTGCCCTCTAGTTGGGGGAAGGGGGGGGGATGCCATGCAAGAGATCCACCTGAGACAGAAGAAGGCACCACCAGAGGAGGACGCGTCCCTCCTCCCTTTTCCACGCGAAGTTTCGCCCTCGACCCTCGAGGGTCGAGGGGGGAGGCTGTCGGATGTCTTTGGCCCATGTCGAATTCGCGTCGAGTCCACGCCAAACCCGTGCCGAATCCTCATCGAGCCCGCGCCCAGACCAGGATTTAACATGACCTGTGTTTTTTTATTTAGGTCGGACATGTACCCCTACAGGCGGGATTTGAACGAAACATTCAAAAATCAAAAAAGTATGGAAAGTTGTAGGAAAATCGTCCCCCGACCATTGTTTGACTATTTTTGCATATTCCTCCTGTAGAGGGACACGCCCGCCTTGCGAAAGAAAAGCAGTGCCCCCCGAGCATGAAGCAGGCACCGAGTCCATGCTGGCCCGTCGTCGGCATGCTCCCGCTCGCCGCCGTGTTGTGGGCAACGTCGGCACACCCCGGCGCCAGTCCCCCTCTGGACCTGAGAAGGGCGAAGGCCCCCGTCGAGCCGCCCACCGCAGTCCATGCTGGCAGGACGTCGGCATGCTCCCGCTCGCCGCCGTCTTGTGGGCGGCGTCGGCACACCCCCGGCGCCGGCCCCCCTCGGGATCCGAGGAGGGCGGAGGCCCCCGTGGAGCCGCCCACCGCCCGGAGAGGCCTCCAGAGGCCTCCAGAGACCTGCGACGCCTCCAGAGCCCTCGGGGGGCATCCCGGGGGGTCTGGATCCAGGTCGGCAGCAGAAACTGACCACCTGCTCCAAATCTTCCCGTCTCCTCCTCCTCCTCCTCCTCCTCCTCCCCTCCCTCCCTCCCTCCCTCTCTCCCTCCCTCCCTCCCTCCCTCCCTTCCTCCCTCCCCCTCCTCCTCCTTCTCCTCCTCCTCCTCCTCCTCCTCCTCCTCCTTCCTCCCTCCCTCCTCCCTCCCTCCCATCCCTCCCTCCCTCCCTCCCCCCCCCTCCCTCCCTCCCTCCCTCCCTCCCTCCCTCCCTCCCTCCTCCTTCTCCTTCTCCTCCTCCTCCTTCTCCTCCATCTCCTCCTTCTTCTCCTTCTCCTCCTTCTCCTCCTTCTCCTCCGTCTTCTCCTTCTCCTCCTCCTCCTCCTCCTCCTGCTCCTGCTCCTCCTCCGCCTCTCCTCCTCCTCCTCCTCCTAAACCTACTCCAATTCCTGCTTCTACTCGTGCCTCCCCACCCTCCCTCCCTCCCCATCCTCCTGCCCTGCCCCCTCGGGATCTGAGGACGGCGGCGGGATACCCAGGCGCCGGCCCCCCTCGGCATCTGAGGAGGGCGTGGGCCATGACGCCGATGCTCCACATGTCGGAGCGGTCCGTGCGCCTTCCGGGGTTGCCGCCGCCGTCGCCGACGCCACCGCGGCCGGCGTGGAACTGTCGCCGGCGCGGTTTGCGGTGTGAGTTGTTGCGATGTGCGTAGTTCTTCGGTGGTCTTCCACGGTGTTCCGAAGTTCTCGGAGCCTCCCAGAGGTTCTCGGAGGTCGTCGTTGCGCCGTCGTCATGATCGCCTGGGGAGAGGGGAGGGAGGAGCAGGGGAGGCCGGGAGGAGGCAGGAGGGATGGTGTGGGGAGAGAGGAGAAAATATGCAGGGCGAGATGGGAGGAGAGAGGGGGGATAAGGAAGGGGTATGTTAAGTGGCACGCGGGCGCGTCTCCGACGAGGCCCGATGTGGAGAGACGGGAGGGAGGGAAAGGTACGGAAGGATGGGGGGGGCCAGGGAGGAGCGGAACAGAGCGGAGGGTGAAGGGACGACAGGCCTTGGTGCCCGCCGCCCGAGGAGCAGGGGGAAGCGCCACGGGAGAGACGAGGGAGGGCGAGGAGGAAAAAAGGGGGGGGCCGCGAGGAGCGAAGCGAGGGGAAGCGAACGGCGCAGACGCGCGTGTTCCTCTGAGGAGCCCGCCCGTGCCCGAGAGGGTATGTGGCATTAAGGGGGGGGAGCGAGGAGGGAGAGGAGGTACAGTGGAGGCCAGTCCACAAGAAGCCTTCCACAAGAAACCCAACCCTGAGACCCCCAGGACGTCCATGGATGTTTGGTGTGGGAACGCCACGCTCTCCACGGCAAGACCATCGAAACCCAAGAAACCCAGGGCACCGTGGAGACGGGCAGGGCGTTTCTTGGCATGGGCCTCCACTGCAGGGGGGGCAGAGCTGGGAGTGATCGAGTGGAGGCAGGCTCCCTGGCAAAGGGGTGCCAGCAGGAGGGCACGTGCCCGGCCTCTGCACTTTTTACGCGGGCGTGCGCGGCTCGACGAAGAGGAGGCCGCGTGCTGCTTCTCGCGGCCTGGAGCGAAGGGCGCTGCCGAGCGTGGGGACGTCAGCGCACGCTGTCATTGTTAGGTCGGGCATGTCCCCCTACAAGCGGATTTTGGATGAACTATGAACAACAAGAACCGGCACATTCAAAAAAACGTCTATATACGATTATATGACTACGTTTGAATATTCCTCCTGCAGAGGGACCTGCCCCACTGACTGCCATTGCGCCCGAGCCTCACGGGCGTCGTCTCCACACGAGCGACGAAAGCCAGGGAGTCTTTCGCGAGGAAATGCATACCAACCCTACGCCGACGCTTTCACGGACCGCCAGTGTGGCACACCTAGTGGATGGGAGGGCGGTGACCTGCGTTCCTCCGCGGGAAGCGTGCGCGCCAACGTCCGCGCAGTCGACCCCGTGCTCTTACGTCGATCACATGGGGTCCGCGGGCATGTAGGGCACTGTTGATGCTGTGTTTTTTGCAGTATGGCTGAAGGGCACTGTTCTTGCCCGACTACAACTCAACCCCACGCCAGCGCAGCCTCGCTGAAGAGCAGGTGCTCCTTCTCAGGATTAGAGGCCTCCTCGATGGGGTCCGACGAGATGGGGTCGGAGGGTCGCGCCGCATCCCCGATGCATCGGCGATGCACTGGCGACGTCGGCGATGCATCGGCGACGTCGGCGTGGAGAAAAGTGGGCCTCACATCGAGCCGCATCGGCGATGCATCGCCATCGCCGATGCGGCACGCCTGACTACGGCGGCGCGCCGCCAAATAGTGACGCCCCTCGCCGCCGGCGTCCTGCGCGGCAGCGCGCGCTGAGCCAGCGCAGCCCGCGGCCCCGCGCGGCCCGCAGCGCCTCGGCGTCCATAGGGCCTGCTGCGCCCCCGGGCGCGCTGGCGGAGCCTCGCGGCACGGCGCCGTGGGCAGCGGCATACGGGCGGGCGGGACCGGCGCGGAGGGCGCGCGAAAGGCAGCAGGCGGCGTCGGGAGCTGCGCGGAGGCACGAAGGCCGCAGGTTTTCGCAGGCAAAGCCGGGATGGCTGGACGCCGCGAGCCTCGACTCGGCCGCTGGCGACACGGCGGCCGAGCACGAGCTCGCCTCGCCGGTGAGTGGGCGGGCGGCGGCGCGGCGCGGCGCGCCGTCGCCGAGCGGAACACGTGCCTCTGAAGGCGAAGCCCCCGGTCGCGGAGCCCCCTCGATCTCAGCTGAGCGCATCGACGACGAAAGGCGTCCTGGCGGCTTGCAGGCACAAGCCATGTGCCACGACCGTGCCGGAGAGGGGTAGGAGCCGCCGACTGGGTTACAGTCGTGACGCCTGCATCGGCCCTGGTTTGTGTGTGTGAGTGTGTGGGAGCGTGTGCGCGTGTGGTGTGTGAATGTGTGAATGTGTGATTGAGTGTGCTAGTGTATGTTTGTGCGTGACTGTGTTTTTGAGTGTTTGTTTGTGTATATGTGTGTGTGTGTGCATGTTAGTGCGCGTGTGCGCATTTGTGTGTGTGTGTTTGTGTGTGTGTGGTGTGATGTGGTATGGTGTGCTCTTGCGTTTCTGTCGTCTTGTGTGTGCGTGTTTGCTTCACCCTGTCGCAGCGCACGAGGCCGCGACCGCCAGAAAAGGTGTGCGCGTGTGTGTCTGACTGGTTGCATGTGCGGGTGCGTGTGTGTGTGAAGATGTGTTTGTTTTTCTGTTTGTGTGTTTGTGATTAGGTGTGTGAATGTGTGCGAATGTGTGTGTTCGTCTGTGCGCGTGTATGCGTGTGTAGTTGTGTGTTAGTGTGTGTGTGTTGTGTGCGTGCGTGTGTGTGTGTGTGTGCGTGTGTGTGAGCGTGTGTGTTGTGTTGCTGTGCGTGTGTGTGTGTGTGTGTTCGTGTGTGTTGTGTATGTGTTTGTGTGCGTGTGTGTGTGCGTGTGTGTGTTGTGTGTGGGCGTGTCTGTGCCAGTGTGTGTGTGTGCGTGTGAGTAATGTGTGCTTGTGTGTGTATTGTGTGTGCGTGTGAATGTGTGTGTGTGTGTGTGCGTGTGTGTGAGCGTGTGTGTGTGTGTGTGTGTGCTGTGTGTGCGTGTGTGTGCCTTGTGAGTGCGTGTGTGTGTGTGCGTGTGTGTGTGTGTGTGTGTGCGTGTGTGCTGTCTGCGTGTGTGCGTGTGTTGTGTGTGTGCTGCGAGTGTATGCGTGTGTTTGTGTTGTGTGTGCGCGTGTGTGTGTGTGCACGTGTGTGTGTGTGTGTGAGTGCATGTGCATGTGTGTGCGTGTGTGTGTGCGTGTGTGTGCGCGCGTGTATGTGTGTGTGTTTGTGTGTGTTGTGTGTGTGTTTGCGTGCGCGCGTGAATGTGCGTGTGTGTGTGTGTGCTGTGTGTGTCGTGTGTGGTGTGCGTGTGTGCGTGAATGTGTGTGTGTTGTCTGCGTGAGTGTGTGTGTGTGTGCGTTGTGTGTTTGTGTGTGTGGTGTGATGTGGTATGGTGTGCTCTTGCGTTCTGCTGTGTCGTCTTGTGTGTGCGTGTTTGCTTCACCCTGTCGCAGCGCACGAGGCCGCGACCGCCAGAAAAGGTGTGCGCGTGTGTGTCTGACTGGTTGCATGTGCGGGTACGTGTGTATGTGTGAGGGTGTGCTTGTTTGTCTGTTTGTGTGTTTGAGTTTAGGTGTGTGTGTGCGCGTGTGTGTGTGCGTGTGTGCGCGTGTATGCGTGTGTAGATGTGTGCTCGTGTGTGTGTGTGATGTGTGCATGCGTGTGTGTGCGTGTGTGTGTGTTGTGTTGCTGTGCGTGTGTGTGTGGTCGTGTGTGTTGAGTGTGTTTATGTGCGTGTGTGCGCGTGTGTGTGTGGGTGTTGTGTGTGCGTGTCTGTGCCTGTGTGTCTGTGCGTGTGAATTGTGTGCGTGTGTGTGTGTGTGTTGTGTGTGCGTGTGAGTTTGTGTGCGTGTGTGTGTGAGCGTGTGTGTGTGTGTGTGTTGTGCGTGCGTGTGTGTGACGTGTGAGTGCGTGTGTGTGCGTGTGTGTGTGCGTGTGTTGTCTGCGTGTGTGCGTGTCTGTGTGCTGCGAGTGTATGCGTGTGTTTGAGTTGTGTGTGTGTGCGTGCGTGTGTGTGTGTGTGCGTGTGTGTGTGTGCATGTGCATGTGTGTGTGCGTGTGTGTGCGTGTATGTGCGCGCGCGTGTGTGTATGCGTATGTGTTGTGTGTGCGCGCGTGTGTGTGTGCGTGTGTGTGTGCTTTGTGTGTCGTGTGTGTGTGTTGCGTGTGTGCGTGAATGTGTGTGTGTGTGTGTTGTCTGCGTGAGTGTGTGTGTGTGCGTTGTGTGTGTGCGTGTGTGTGTGTGTACGTGAGCGTGTGTGTTGTGTGTTATGTCTGTGCGTGTGTTCGCTTGTGTGTTTGTTTGGTGTGCGTGTGTATGTGTGTGTGTTGTGTGTGCGTGCGTGTGTGTGTGTGTGCGTAGATGTGCGTTTATGTGTGCGTGTGTGTGTGGAGCGTTTGTACATGTGTGCGGGCGCGTGTGTGTAAGCTTGTGTGTGCATGCGTGTGTGAGTGTGCGTGTGTGAGCGTGAGCGTGTGTGTGTGTGCGCGTGATTGTATTGTGTGTGCGTGTGTGTGTGTGTGTGCGTGTGTGTCTATGCTGTGTGTGCCTGTGTGTGCGTGTGCCTGTGTGTGTTGCGCGTGTGTGTGCGTGCGTGTGTGTGTGTGTTGTGTGCGTGCGTGTGCTTGCGCGTGTGTGTGCGTGTGTGTGTGTGTGCGTGTGCGTGGTTGTGTAAGTGTTTCTGTGCATGTGTGTGTGTGCCTGTGTGCGTGTGCGTGCGTATGCGTGTGTGTGCGCGTGTGTTTATTGTGTGTGCGTGTGTGGTGTGTGTTGTGTGCGTGTATGTGTGGGTGTTGTGTGTGCGTGTGTGCGTGTGTTTGTGTGCGTGTGTGCGTGTGTGCTTGTGTGTGTGCGTGTGTGCGTGTGTGCGTGGGCGTGCGTGCGTGTGTGTGCGTGTTGCGTGTGTGCTTGTGAGTGCGTGTATGTCCGTGTGATCGTGTATGTGCGTGTGTGTGTGCGTGTTTGTATTTGTGTGCGTGCCGCCGGCTACCGCAGGGAGCGGATGGGCCAGAGGCTGCGCATTCGTTACGTGCGCGGCAGTACAATGCGTCGTGACGACCTGCACCTTGGCTTCTGACTGACAAGGCGTGGATCGTCCAACCTTGGACGGATCCTGGCTCGGAGGCAAGCGAGGGGGGAAGTGAGAAGGAGAAGGCCTTCTCAGAAGGCCCGGAAGTCCCCCAGGGCCCTCTCACAAGTGTTCTAAGCCTTCCCCGGAGGCGCAGAAAACCTTCTCAGAAGGCACGAGGGCCTCTGAGAAGCCCCGCCACCTTCTGAGAAGGCCTGCTCCCTCTCACTTCCCCCCCCCTCGCTCGCCGCCGAACCCTTGAGGGATCCTGGCTTACCGATGGCGCATGTCGCTCGAGGTTGGCCGAGACTTCTTGAACGCCCGCGCTGGGGCTGCCGCCGCGTGGACACGGGGCGGACCTGCCGTTTCCGGCGGCACCGGTCGCCCACGCTCTCGAGGAGGCCCCCCAGCAAATGGGTACGCTGCCCAATCCTTTGGGCTGTCCTGCGAGGCGGGGGTCCATCCATAACCCCCGGCTCGGGGCATCGATCCTCGGGGACGTCGGCGGGCGGTGAATCTATGGACATACTTGGCCGCCCCAGGGCCCGCATATTTCTGCAGAAGCCAGCCGAACAGAGCGGTATAGTTGCGATTGCCCCCGGGGGGCCACCACCCTAACAGGTGCTCTGCCAGGACTCACCCCACCCTCCTGGCGGGATGGCACTGTTGCGACAGCCCACCGGCCGGCCTCTGCCGAGCGGGCTCGCCACCCTCCACCGCGCCCCCCACCAACGAGCTCCGAGCCCACATCCAGATAGCCGGGCCAGGTCGAAGACGATCCACATCCACCGCATGCCGGGAGTTTGTTGCCCACCGCCACCACCATAAGTAGCAGGGAGAGGGGCTCCTCCTCCTCCTCCTTCTCCTCTTCGTCCTCCTCCTCCTCCTCAACCTCCTTCCCCCCTCCAACTTCTGGTCGTGGTGGTGGAAGGCAGGCCCATGAGAAGAAGCTCCACATCTGCCGCCTGCCGAGACCGCCGCCCCAGGCGGCTGCCACGAACACATCCCCGCCTCGGACGTCCAACCCTGCCGCCGCGGCCTCCGAGCAGAGGACGTCCGAGGCGCCTCCCCATTCCCCCTTGGGAGAGACGTAAGACTCGGGTTCCTGGGACACGAATTGGCCTGACGGGGCTACCAAGAAGATGACGAGACCAAATCTGAAATCTGACGCGAACTCCCGCCGCAAACGTCCCACGAGAACTGGACCGTCAGAAAACCCAGGACGCGCGCTCGTCAAGACAGACGTCGGCAGACCAGACCCGAGTCCCAGCGCCCTCGAATCCCACGTTTCCCCGAGCTGAGCCCTAGTCGGCGATGCATCGCCGATGGATTGGCGCGATGGACCCCCGAGAGCGAGTCCGCGCACGGGGATGCGCAGAGGGCCGGGGGGCCCATCGGGCCCCTGTCGGCGATCGGCGGGCGACGGGGGGGGGCGATGCGTCCCATCCCCGAGCCTGTGGCCCCCTGGCGCTGCCCCCGATCTTGTGACGCCGGGGGATCGGACGAGGCGGGCAGCAGCGTGAAGCAGGATCGGGGAGACGTAAGACCCGGGTACGGGGGACTCGGAAATCCCCGACGAGGTCGTCAAAAAAATGACGAGGCCGAGCCTGCATTTTGACGAGGACTCCCGCTGCAGACATCCCACGAAACTCCTCCTCGTGACGAGGCCTCCCGCTGCAGACATCCCACGAAACTCCTCCTCGTCAAAATCCGAGTCGCGGTCGTCAAAAAACGATGGCGAACCCGAGTCCCGGCAAACCCGGGTCTTACGCTCCCCCGACAGGAGGGCGCCGCGGGCAGACTGTTGAGCAGGGACCGGCCGTCCCGGCATGCCTACAGGCCCCGGCCTACCACGCATACCAGGTCAGAAGCCAGAAGTCGCCCAAGAGCCAAAACAGTGGTCTTAGAGCGTGACCCCGATGTGTTCAATCGAGACGCTGTCTGCCAGAGATGCTTTCAGAACACGTCGTGCAGACCACCAAAGGTTCTTACAACATTGACTGGTAGGCCTATAGGCAAGCCGGGACGCTTCGCCACTGCTTGAAGATTGGGATTCCCCCCCCTTTTGCAGGCAGGCCTCTCGGGCTTGAAAGAGGTGGGCAGAAGCATGGAGCAGGAGGGCGTGGACAGAACCCCCTTTTGTAAAACGTGGCCTAGTGGAAAAAACCTCGGAGCCCAAACCTGGCGGGCGCAGGCCAGGAAAATGACGGCCGCGGCGCACTCGAGAACCGAGAACGGACAATTCACGAATCGACGTGTCAGGGTGGGGGTCCTTCCCAGAGATCCGATGTCGTGATTTTTTCAATATTGGGTCCCCGGAGGTCCCAACCCCTTCCACGGGACCGGTGTTTCATCCTGAGTCGTTTTTTGACTGTCTTGGGGCCCGGCGAGGGCCCCTATAGAGGCCGAAAATTTAGAAAGACCTCCGTCTTGATTTTTGTCAATGCGTTGGATCTCTGGGTTTCCAACCCCAAAGATTGTGATTTCCCCCCCCACCCACCCCCTTGCAGGCGGGCCTCTCTGGCTCCAGCTCCGGCGCCGAGTAGTCGCTGAAGATGAGCCCCCTGCGCGAGGCCTCCGGCGGCCTCGGCTCGCCGCCGCCGCCGACGCCGCCCTCGCCCTCGTCGACCTCGGCGTCATCCCCCTCCTCCTCCTCCTCCTCCTCTTCCTCCTCCTCCTCCTTCCCCCCCCTCCTCCCCTCCCCTCCTCTCTCCTCCTCCTCCTCCTCCTCCTCCTCCGCCTCCTTCCTCCCTCCGCCTCCTCCTCCTCCTCCTCCTCCTCCTCCTTCCCCCTTCCCCTCCTCCTCCTCATCCTCCTCCTCCATCTCCTCCTCCTTCCCCCTCCTCCTCCTCTTCCTCCTCCTTCCCCCTCCTCCTCTTCCTCCTCCCTCCCTACAGGCGTCCGACGAGGCCTCGGCTCGTGGTCGCCGCCGCCGCCGACGCCCTCGTCCTCTTCGGCCTCGGCGTCATCCTCCTCCCTCCAGGTCGGTGGCAACTCATGGGAGCCTCCCAGATCGTATTATATCGGCTCTCGCGAGTCGACGCTCGTCGACGCTAAATCGACACTATCCGACGCTAAATCGACGCTAGCCGACGCTAAATCGGCGCTAGCTCGTCGACTCACAGACGCCAATCGACGCTGAAGACAGAATTGTGAGGGTACACAAGGCTCCCATGAATTGCAACCGACTCGACTCGTCGTCGCCGCCTCCGCCCTCGTTCTCGTCGGACTCGGCGTCATTCATCCTCCCTCCCTCCCACTTCCGACCCCAACCTAGATAATTGGATACAATTTTTGATCGGTCACGATCGGTAGCGACCGATCGGCACTCCGAATCGGTAGCGACCGGTCGGTCACGACCGATGAGTCGCGACCGATTTTGAAGCAAGTCTGCCGCGACCGATAGCGAAATTTGAAAAAAATGTCGCGACTGGAAAATGCCAGTGACATTTCCCCCTCCACCACCACCAAGGGGGGGCCCGGGCGTTGGGGTTATGTCCCTGGGTCCCTGGCCAAGAACCCAGACCCCCGACGTCGTGATTTTGTTTCGCAACTTCGCCCCTCAGAGGTCTGAACCCTTTCCCCAGCACCAGTTTTTCAGCCTGAGCCGTTCTTGGACGGTCCCGGGGCCCGGCGAGGGCCCTCGGAGGGCGAAAATAGCGAAAAACGTCCCGTCGTGATTGTCTCACAACGCGAGGGGGCTCGGCGAGGGCCCTCGAAGGCTGAAAATAGCGAAAAACCTCCCGTCGTGATGTTTTCACAGCGCGAAGGGGTCTTGGGCAGAGCGCCATCCGTGCCGGCCCCAGCCTCTATAGGAGGACCGGGCCCCGTGGCGGTCCGCCTCCAGAGAGGCGCCTCGTGGCCGCCCTTCCCCCTCCTCCTCGTCCTCCTCCTCCTCGTCCTCCTCCTCCTCCTCGTCCTCCTCCTCCTGCTCCCTGCGTCCTCCTCCCCTGCCCCCTTCAAGCCACGAGGCTGGATCCGCCCAGGCGTGTCGCCGAAGGTCCCGAACAAGGCCGAGAGGGCCAGCTGGAAATGCACCCCGCGGGATCCCCGACCTCCAAGGAAAGCTAATCTCCTCGGAGATGTCACGATCCTCCTCCTCCTCCTCCTCCTCCTCCTCCTCCTCCTCCTCCTTCCTCTTCACGCTTCTCCTCCCTCCCCCCCTCCCGCCTCCTTCGTTCCCTCCCTCCCTCCCTCCCCCTGTCCCTCCCTCCTCCCTCCCCTCTTTCCTCTGTCCTTCCTCGCTACTTCCGCTCCCTCTTCTCCCCCCTGCGGCCACGGCGGGCCGTCGTCGTTGGCGGCGGTAGCGGCGTCGACGTCCATGACGCCATCGTTGTTGGAATCACTGTCGTCGCCGTCTGCCTGCTGAGTCTGCGAGCTGAATTGCCTGATGCTCCTCCTCTTCCTCCTCCTCCTCCTCCTCCGCCTCCTCCTCACCCTCCCCATCCCTTTCCAGCTTCCCCTCCTCGTTCACTCCTCCCCTTCCTGCACCCCCTTCCGCATCCCCCTCCTCCTCCTCCTCCTCCTCCTCCTCCTCCTCCTCCTCCTCCTCCTTCTACTCCTCTTCCTCCTCCTCCTCCCCCCTCCTCCTCCTGCTCCTCCTCTTCTCCTGTTACACCCCGTTCCATTTTCCCTCCCACTCAACCTCCACTGGTCCTCCACATCCCTATCCTCCCCCCTCCTCCTCTTCCTCCTCCTCCTCCTCCTCCTCCTCCTCCTCCTCCTCCCTCCTCCTCCTCCTCCTTCCCCTCTTCATCCTTCATTACTACTCCGTATAGATAGCTTCTCCCTATTGCACCCCGAAGCCGGATGAAAGGGCGGGCCTGGGCGCTTCACCTGAGACTTCCTCACCGCTATGGCCCTGAAAGCTAAAAACTGGCAACAGTTTTACATATGGAGGGCGGGTGGTTTTCAAACTGTGGATCTCGCCTTAGCGCCGCGCGCATTCGTTTGATCAAGTTGCAAAAGTTCCACAGATTGAGAAAAATTCCTTTTCAAAATGTGGCTCTCGCATTCGAGTCGCGTACATACCTGAAAAACTGCGTGTCACGGATTCCCATGGTAAACGTACCAGAGATGGTGCGTTGGCAAAAGTCAAGATTATCAGAGTGCAACAGTTACGTTGGTTCGCGGCATTGAAGTTCCAGGGATTCCTGTCTGGCACGGTTCAGGAGCGTCAAGACGCAACAGTCAGGATGATCCTATGCGCTGGAATCTCGAGAACATGCTTCAGGGTCTTTATTTGTTGTCTTCCGACGAGGCAATTTCTTCAGTGAGAATGAATACGCGTATGTGCCTATGATGAGGGAGCTTGGAGGGAGGATATAGTTCAACATCGTTGCTGTTTCTTGGGTATACACTTGTCCTCCTCCGCCTCCTCCTCTTCCTGCTCTGCCGCATCCTCGTCAATACGTGCACCTTATGAATGCTACTCTCGCCTGTCCCCCGACTCTGTCCAAAAGATGCCCGCATCTCGCCGCGTACTCTTTGTTACACACAGATTTTGGCAACGGCGGTCATTCCTAAGGATTGTGAGCCATCCGATTGTTCCTGGTGTTTCAAACTGGTGTGGGTCTCATGTTCGGATCGGCGCTCTGCTCCTGAGCGCGGGCCACTCTTCTAGATCCGGGTCTTGCGCTCATCTGTATGGCCACCCTCGTTTCCCCTCCTCTGCCTTCCCCTGGTCCTACTGCTCTTCCCGCGCCTTCCTTCCACTCCACTCCCTTCTGCGGCTCCCGTCGTCCTCGCCCTCATTCTTACACACCCTTCACCCTTTTGTTCCTGCTCGTCCTCCTGCTCTTACCCGCCACCTCCTCTTTCCATGTACGCAGCTCCCGTGTTTCCGATTGCGCAGAACACGATTGTGTTAGATCCAGGGCGGCTATGGCACGCGTCCGCGGATAGATCAAACATCTTTCCTATGGGAAGGGATGAGAGGGACAGAAGTGATGTCAGATGTGGCGCAAGCGCACTGTACTCCTCCCTCCTCCTCAATATTCCTCCTGCTCCTCCTCCCTCTCCTCCTCCTCCTCCTCCTCCTCCTCCTCCTACCTCCTCCTCCTCCTCCTCGCCCTCCTCCTCCTCTTCCTCCTGCTCCTCCTCATCCTCCTCCTCATGCGCCCCTGCGTTCCTCAGCAGTCGCCCCGATGACACAGGACGCCCGCCCGAAAACAGGTCTGCTCTGAAAAACAGGGGTGACCGCCTCCACCTTTGGACACGAGGGCTCCTTCCCCTGCTTCAACATCACCAGGGCTTTCACCTTCCATGCAGTGTCGGGCTTCTCCTGGCACACCTTACTCAACTCCTTGACCTGAGCTCTGGCATACGCTCCACAGCGCACGCACTAGGTTACACTTCCATTCTCTCTCCTCCTCCTCATCCTCCTCCTTGCACATCCACCTCCTCGCTCTGCTCCTCATTTTCTACTCGTAGCAAAGACATTTGGACGCTTATTCAGATGCTACCTATTGGCGATCGGTCCAACAACGATCATACCCTGCGGCGGGATTCTGGTATACTAGAGCTCCGGCGTCGCCACGTACTCGCAGCAACACCAATCCGTGACCACCACGCGCGAATCTTCCTCCTCGCAGACGCGGGTCGCCAGATGATGTGCGATGCAAGCCCCTGTCTGTCACTGATGTGAGGGGGAACGTTCTGACTGGACCGGCTCAGGTGTGGAGGCATCGACCTCGGCGAGTCACCGCCATGGATCGGCGACAGGCGCTCGATAGGGGATCCGAACGCTCCTGGTCCGGGTGCGGGCGACTGGGCCCCTTTTCTCGGCGATTGGTGGGCCATTGGGGGTCGATGCGTCCCCCCGCTGACGGCGGTGGACAAGCCTCCCTATGGCAAAGCTCCCCTTGGCGAAAACGGCCCGGGACCGAGACCGACGCACCCGGACCCGCACAAGTGCGGGCCGCGGCGCCCCCTCGCGAACCGAACACGGGCAAGTTCTTGGTGGATGTGTCAGGGTAGGAGGGCTATCAACCTCCGAGCCACCCCTTCCACGCTGCCCCTGACTGGGCCTTCCCGCAGGCCGTCCTCCTCCCCGCGTCGATCCCAACGGGCAATTTCTGAGTCGACGTGTCAGGGTAGGAGGTCTTTCCACCTCCGACTCCGTGCCGCGCCGCCTCCCGACGTCGCCCTTGGCCCGAGCGGGCGCGAGACGGCAGCCGCGCGTCCCTCCCTCTGCCTGCGCCCCAGCCCCGCAGCGATCGCGCACGCGCCTCACGACCCCTCTTTGTGAGCGCTGTCTGCTTCGGCGGTTTCGGCATTGGGCGGAGCGGGGGGTACAGCAAAGACGCTGGAATAAGGAACAATTTGGATTCGGAAGGGGCTCGATGTCCTTTACGTCCTTCCGTGGTTATTCCGCTAGCCCTTCTCGTGCACCCAAGCTTTTTTTGTAAGTTAGCGTTCCTTATTTCAGCAGCCCAACTGGAGGGGGTTTCTGGCTCTGGACCTCTGCTGACTGCGACTGTTGGACGCAGTGCGCCCGATGGGGGAGACTCCACCTGCTTGAACCAGGCGCCACGACAAGCCAACAGCATCATCAACAGCAACACCAACACCACCACCAACAGCAACGCCAACACCAACACCAACACCACCAACAGCAACAGAAACAACAACAACACCAACACCAACACCAACACCACCACCACCAACAACACCACCACCACCAACAACAACAACACCAACACCACCACAACCACCAACAACAACACCAACATCAACAACATTAATAACAATAACAACAACGACAACAACAACAACGACAACAACAGCCCCAACATCAACAACAACACCAACAATAAGAACACCACCAGCACCAACAACAACATCACCAACAACACCAACAAAACCACCAGCAACACCTCCACCAACACCAACACCAACAACGACAACAACACCAACACCAACACCAACACCAACACCAACACCAACAACAACAACAACAACAACAACAACAACAACAACAACAACAAGAACAACAACAACAACAACAACAACTGCACCACCAACACCAGCACAAACAATAACAAGAAAACCAACAACACCAACAACAACACCAACACCAAAACCAACAACACCAGCAACACCACCAACAACACCAACAACAACAACAACAACAACAGCACCACCAACAACAACACCAACAACACCAACAACACCAGAAACAACAACACCAACACCAACCGCCACCACAACACCAACAACAACACAACCATTGGTTGTGCTGTTGTTGGTCCAACAACAGCAGCAACACAACAAAGCGGGCCTGAGCCTCCAAAAAGGCAGCTCGCCGCCCTGAGCGCTCTCGTCGGGTGGCCCCAGCTTCTCGGCCCGGTTTGTGGCCCCAGGAGCCCTCTGGGCGCCGACGGGCGTGCTCTGGAGGCCGAACGGGCCTCCCTGGGAACCCTGGCTCAGGGACACCCTGGGCCAGGGACGGCAAGGCCTCGGGCTGCGCACAGACAGCCCACCCCCCAGGCAGTCCCAGCTGGCCTCTGCAGGCCCCCCGAGCAGGTATAGCTCCAGCTGGCCTCTCGACAGGCCGAGCGCCCCAGGGCCGCCGCCAAGTTCGGCGCCAGGGTGTTTTTGTGTCCTTCCCCCCCAACGTCGGTCGGACAAACATCAGGTAGAAACTTTACGTCGGCAGCTAGGCAGAATCACTGCGCTGACGAGAAAGCGAAACGGTGCTACCGGTAAGCGAATTGTGCCACCATGCACGATGGGAGGAGAAGACGACGAAGACGGCCGAGAGGTGGAGGAGGAAGCGGGCCGGGGCAAGCAGGTAGAAACATGAAGGAGGAAGGCGGTGGAATCAGGCTGGAGCTCCGCCCCCCACCCCCGCAAGAACCAGGCACTGGAGTATTGAAGTAGGGCCGGCGCCTGAGGTAGACTGGGGGCTGGGAATCCCACAAACTACCTACCTTCAACGACATGCGGGTACAGTGGAGGCCCGACCACAAGAAACCTTCCACGAGAAGCCCAAGCCCGAGACCCCAAGACATCCACTGTTTTTGTTGGTGCGGGAACGTCACGCTTTCCATCGCCAGACCATCGACACCCAAGAAACCCAGGGCACCCTGGAGGCTAGCAGGGTGTTTCTTGGCATGGGCCTCCACTGTAAGGAGCAGGCCACCGCGTAGACACGGAAAATCACGGCCGCGAGCCCTGGGCCCACGCCGAGGGTCGAGCACTCAAACCTACGGCAAAGGTCGGAGGAAGGGGAGGAGGGAGAGGAGGAGGAGGAGGAGGAGGAGGAGGAGGAGGAGGAGGAGGAGGATGAGGAGGAGGAGGAGGAGGAGGAGGAGAGTGGTGGATGGAGGATGGAGGATGGAGGATGGAGGATGGAGGAGGGAGAGGGCAGGAGGAGGGAGTAGGGAGGAAGAGGACGAGGAGGAGGAGGAGGAGGAGAACGAAGAGGGTGCCTGTTGAGGCCAGCTGGGGCCACCGACCCGCGGGGGGGCCCGCGTAGGCAAGCTGGGACTGCGCCTGGGGCGGGCTGCCCGTGCGCAGCACCCCCGAGGCGCCTCCCCAGCCAGCACCGTCGGCCAAGGCCAGAAGAGCATCCCTCAAGCCCACTCCTCCTCCTCCTCCTCCGCCTCCTCCTCCTCCTCCTCCTCCTCCTCCCCCTCCTCCCCCCTCCTCACCCTTTTCCTCCTCCGCCATCCCCCTCCTCCTCCGCCTCCTCCTCGTCCTCCTCCCCCTCCCTCTCCTCCTCTCTCCTCCTCCTCCTCCTCCTCCTCCTCCTCCTCCTCCTCCTCCTCCTCCTCCTCCTCCTCTACTACTGTGGGCGGCAAGGGTGGGCGCAGAGGAGGGGGTGAGCGAGCAGGGCAGTGTCACCGTCGGACCTATGCTAGAAACACATCACTCAAAAACATGAGACCCTCCGCCAGCCAAACCAAACAGAACATCCAAGGGCACCTTCCCTCAGGCTGCACAAGAGCATCCAACAAGCACGAAGGTCATTAGGATGCCCTCCCCGAGACGACCTCGATTTTATGCCTTTGGTCCGACTGTGTCCGACCGAGGAGGGACAGCGGTGCAATCCTTTGTGGCGTACCGCACGTTCTCGGGGCGCAGGTCCTGGCGCGCGGGGCGCAGCGTCAAGGGGGAGAGGGGCAGTGGGAGAGGGGGGGATGAAAAGTGGGACAGCAGGGAGCGGAGAGGGGAGGGAGGGCAGGAGAGGGGAGGAGAGGAGGGCAAGAAAGGGAGAAAAAATGAAGGGAGCACCGAGGCGGAAGGTGGAACGATGACTGCCACTTGTGGTGTGTTGTTCGTTCTTCTGGACCAACGCGCGGACCAACACAGGCCTCCAGAGACCTCTGGGAATCTCTGGGAGTGATGCGAAGACGGCCTCCTCCTCCTCCTCCTCCTCCTCGTCGTCCTCATCGCCATCACCCATCTCCATCGTCGTCATCAGGAGCAGCAACATCCTCATCATCCCCGACATCCTGGTCAATATCGCCATGTACATCACCATCACAGTTATCCTCATCATTATCATCAACATCACAACCACTACAACCACCACCATCATCATCCTCCGCAGCATCATCAACACCATAAGCATCATCATCACCGTCAGCATCATAAGCAGCATTAGCATAATCAGCATCATCAGCGACATCATCCTCATCATTATCATCATCATCATCATCATCATCATCATCATCATCGGCAGCATCATCTGCATCATAATCACCATCAGCAGCATCACCATCATCAATAGCAACATCACGATCGGCATCATCACCGTCGTCATCATCAACAGCATCACACTCATCATAATCATCATCATCATCAGCAGCAGCAGCATCATCATCATCACCATCATCTACATCCTCATCATCATCAGCATCAACATCATCGTACTCATCATCAATAGTAACATCACGATCATCATTATAGTCGTCATCATCAACAGCATCACCATCATCACCACCACCATCATCACTGAGACAATCATCAGTGTGCCATCATTGTCAGCATCAGCATCAACATCATCACCATCACCATCACCATCCCCATCACCACCACCACCACCATTATCATCATCATCAGCAGCATCATCACCATCGTTTACAACACCATATTCAACAACAACAACAACAACAGCAGCAACATTAACCGACTCGCCATGAACATCAGTGTCATCAACATCAGGTCCGTCATCTGAATTGAGCCTTCTCCCCCTCCTCCACGCCCCCTCCTCCTCCCCCCCCCCTCCTCCTCCTCCTCCTCCTCCTCCTCCTCCTCCTCCTCCTCCTCCTCCTCCTCCTCCTCCTCCTCCTCCTCCTCCTCCTCCTCCTCCCTCATCCTCAGACTCGCGAAAGCCTCAGGTACGAGTGCACTCTTGCGACCTTTTGCGAGTGTAACTGCCTTTTTTAACAGGTGCCCTGTTCGCTGCCTCGCCACCTCTCTTCCACCCAGCAGCTGGAGCCTCGCGGGCAAAACAGTCCTCCCTCATCCGCAACCTCGGGGGAGCATGGACGGTGGCGAAGACGGGGGATGGGGAGGAGCGGATCGCGAGCGCTGGAGGGTGGTGACAGCAGCAGCCATCACCAGGCCAGTACCCTCGAGGCGCGCAATCAAACCTCAAGACGGACGGACACCTCCGAGGAGCGCCTCCACGAAATACTGAATGGGGGACGGAGAGAGAGAGGGGGTATTGATGGTGTGCCCAGGGCAGGTGCTTCGAGTGCTGGCTCTAGCCCCGAGGCCCGTTCTGCATATCATATATCTGTTAGCCAGCGTAGACCCCAAGCAGTGGGCTATTGCTCACTGCATGTGAAGGCTACGCGGTGTAAACTATGTGGCGCAAGCTATGTGGCGTGAGCTGATGAGGTGAACAGGTGTGAGATGTAAGCTATGTAGTGAAGCTGGGTGGCGGAAGCTAGGTGGTGTGGGATGTAAGCTATGTGGTACACATTAGGCAGTGTAAACTGGAGGTACCCGAGGTGGAAGCCAGAATCGGCAACGAGGCGGCAAAGGAGTGGAAATGCCCCATGGAGCTGCAATTGGCAATGCTGCAGCGAAGAGCGAACAAGAACGATCCCGCGACCCGACTTCGGCCACACACGTGGGCCCTCGCCGGAGAAAGAATCGGGCCTCCGAGCTGCGAAAGGCCGGGGCAGCGGGGGAGGAGAGGGAGGCGGGGGAGCGGCGGGAGCAGCAAGACGACAACGACGACGACGCACGGCGCATGCATCAGGCACCCACCACGTGGATTCAGCAGCCATCATGCCCCATCCTCAACATAGTAATGCAAGCACTACGCGAGGCAGCTCTGATCACCTGGGCAGAAGATGGTGACCTGCATCAAATAGCGAGTGCCCTCTGCAAGCAGAACCCGGAGACATCCAATCATGAGCCAGAATGCAATGTCAAACCTTGGCAGCCGAGTCGACATCCACAAGGACACGCAAAACCAACGACAACTGGCCGACATCCCTCCCGTATTGGAACCGTGCGCTCAAGTTACAGCAAGGGACATGGCATGCCACAGGCAGAATGGAGAGAAATGGCTGGAGCAGCAGAAGGGAGGGGATGCGAAAGACGAGGATGAGATATTGGAGAGGGAGGAGAGCAGAAGGAGGAAGGCGAGCAGGATGGTAAAGAGGAGGCAGAACGACAGGAAGAACACACAAAGACAGACGAAGATGGTGCTCTTGTGGGGGGGCGGGCCTTTGGTGAACCCGTCCAGGCCTGTGGTTCGGGGGCAGTTGACGGGAAAGGGGGGGGGTCTCTGCGGCCCAACAGAGCCTTTCTGGCCAGCCAGGACTGGAACATCCAAAAACGCAGCACAGTCGGACCTAGGCAGGAAAACACCCCTCAAGAACCTGAGACCCTCCGCTGGCCAAACCAGGAAGAACATTCAAGGGTGCCCTCCCCAGGCAAACAAGAAGGACATGAAGGCACTCTCCCCGAACCGACCTCGATCGTATACCTCGGTCCGACTGCAAGACTGACTTTCGGAAGTCCGCGCGGAGTTATGCGGTAGACGATGGACCCACCCGCCCTTGCGAGCGAAGCGCGCCAGAAGCGGCGCCAGAGGCACCGTCTGAGGGGGTCCGCTCAGACCTCCACAGTGCACATGTGTTTTGTTATGTGTTTTTCTGTGCAGTTCCGCCGCCTTCTGCTTCTGGCCGTCTGGGGTGGCAACTCACGGGCGCCTCCCATGTCATCTTGGCTCTGGCGAGTCGACGCCCAGCGAGGCGAATCGACGCTGAATCGGCGCTCTCTGATCCATTGCGAGAGACGCTGGAGCACGCTGATACACTCTGAAGGCGGAGTCTCGAGGACATTCGAGGCTCTCACGAGCTGCTAACCCATCGTTGCGTCCGGTAATTCCCGGGGTGGATCCACCTGTGGCGGCGGGCCCCCGCCCCGCCCCCTCCTCGCCCTCCTCGCTCCCCCCTTCTTCTTCCCTGCCCTGTCCTCGCCCCCCTCGCCCTGCAGGGCCGCTGATGTCCTAACCAACCATCCTCCGATGGAAAGGATGAGAGGGAGGAGGAGGAGGCGGAAAAGGAGGAGGGCGAGGAGGTGGAGGAGAGGGAGAGTGTTGAGGAGGAGCAGGAAGGGGAACAAACGGAGGAGGAGTCAGGAGGAGGAAGAGGAGGAGGAGCAGGAGAAGGAGGAGAGGGCTGAGGAGAAGAGGGTCGAGGACGAGGAGGGCCCCTGGCGGCGCGTCCTGGTGCACAATGCCCTTCCCATGCGCGTGCGCCATCGCCGCCACGACCTGGTCTACGATCCAGGCCACCCGGTACTCCGACAGGGGCTGGGCGTCGGGCGGACATCGGCTCCCCCCTTGCTAACGAAGCCCCCTTGAAAAAGGCTGCGCACAGACACCCCCCCAGCACTAAATTAAGACATTCCGCCGCCGCCGCCGCCGTCGCCGCTGTCGAGGAATCACAAGAGGAGGAAGGAGAGGAGGAGGATGAGAAGGAGGAGGAGGAGGTTTCTGCTGCGAGAACTCGCCTGGCAGATCCATGCCACAGCCAGCCTTCTGTCCTGGCGGCGGATGGGGGCACACTGCTGAGGTGCCTCACCCCTCCCCACACAGAAAACTCTGCCCAAGAGAAAATCTGGGTCAGAGAGCTCGCTCCCAGAAGGCGCCGCAATCCCATGGGAGCAGGGGAGGAGGAGGGTCGAGGATCGAGGAGGCGGAGGAGGAGGAGCAGAGGAGGAGGAGGAGGAGGACAAGGACAAGGACAAAGACAAGAACAGGGCGAGTCGCGGGAGTCGCGCGTAGTCCACTGCCGGCGAAGAGCTCTGGGGAGTGGTCCAGAAGGACGAATGACCTCCTGAGGAGGTTTACACGAAGCCACGACAGGGACAACATCGGACAGGGACATGTCGGGGAGGGGATACCGGAGGTCCAATAGACCTGGAGGATGCATCCGGCGCCGCGGCCTTCTTGGAGCGATCCGGGGCGCTCTGGGAGCTCCCTGGGACGCTCTGGAGCGATATCCGCATCCCTGTCCTGGCCACGCCCGGCCCAGGCAGCCCCTGCTGGCCTCAACAGGCCCCCATGAGTAGCCTGGGGCGGTCACGACACCTCAACCATGGGGCGCGCGGCGCCCCAGGGTCGCCGCCAGCGGCGGCGCCAGGGTGTTGAGTCAGCCTCGGGTTACTCGGAGGGCCTGCCGAGGCCACATGGACACAGAAGCCTCAGAGCTATTTCTTCTGCATGCTTTGGCAGGGACACTTGCGTGGAGGGGGGCGGGGGGCGGGGGGGCCGGTGCCCGAAAACACATCTAAAGCGAGGGGATGAAACGGTTTCGGTATCGGTTTCGGTTCGGGCTCGGCATCGTGGTCGTGTCGTGCGCGCGGGCGAAGCTGAGCTGCGTGCGCCTCCTCTCTGGCTGTAGGAACGCCGCCGGGCCGGAAGACCGCCGCCCTCCGGTGTCTCGTCGGTGTCTCGTCGGTGCCCCGCAGTGGAATCGACAGTGAAATCGAGAATGATATCGAGAATGAGACCGATACTGATACCGACAGTGACCCTGGGGCGTGTCTCCGAGGAGCTCGCCCGGCAGAGGTCTCGCGCGGTCTCCCCTGAGTTAACGGGCGAAGAACGGTATTGACTAAACGTTGTCGCTGTCGGGGGCGCCTGTCCCAGGGCGGCTGGAAACGTCCTACCCCTACGTTGCCACGGTAAGGGTGTAAACTTTCCAGCCGCCCTGGGACAGGCGCCCCCGACAGCGAAAAAGTCTACCTTATACCGCTCTTCGCCTGTTAACGGAGGGCCCCCGGCCCCTGGACAAACCCTGCAGACGACCGACGAGGGCCCGGGACGCCGGACCGATCGCTCGTCCTGGACAGCTGGTTTCAGGAGGGGGAAAAACACAGACAAAATCCATCGTCGATGCCAAAGAACAAAATAAGAAAGAATCAGAAAATATGGGATACGTACCGGGGGGGGAACGACGAGAAACTAGAACATATGGGAAAACATGGTGGATCCTGTGATGTGTGTTTGTGTGCTTATTTGTGTGCCCCTCGGGCCCTTCATGATTGGCGGCCCCCGGGTGCTGAGGAGGAGCCCCAAAGACCTCTCGAGAGCGTCAAGGGGCACTCCAGGGCAGCGCTCCGCCTGGACCTCCCTTCTCTCGGATGCTGGGAGAGCAAGGCATATAAGAAGAGCAAGGAGAAAAAGAGGGAGAGAGAGAGGGAGAGAGACAGAGACAGAGGCCAAAAAACAGAGACACTAGCAGACATAGAAGCAGCCACAGAGACACAGACCACAGACAGAGGCGCAGACAGAAAGACAGAAACAGCAACAAGAACCTCTCCTGGTCGTGCCTGTCCAGGAGCTCCCCGCCGGTGTAGAGCTCCAGCACCTGCACCACAGGGACGCGAGCGCGTCGCGTCGGCTTCCCCGCCTCGGGCGGGGGCAGGACGCAGGCAGCAGGGGTCAAGGAGAGAGGGTCAGATAGCAACTCGCGGCATCCTCCTGGCGCCCATCAGTGCGCCCTATCGCGCGCCAAGCGGAGACATGTCCCTCACATGGCGCCGATGCGCGCTAATGGTCGCTTCTGGGCGCTGTGTGAGCACCATCCGGTGCTGCTGGGCGCTGCCGGACACCCTTTGGCGCTGCTCGCCTCGCCTCAGCGCCGCGCGCATTCGTCATGACACACAGTTGCAAGGGCTTCGAATGGGGGGACCCAGGCGTGACCATGACGGCACCACTAAATATACCCGGAAACGTCCAGAGGCCGCGAAACTGGAGGTCTCTGGAACTCTCCAGAGCTCTCCAGAGCTCTCCAGACGTCCCTGGCAGCCGCTGAAAGCAGCTGTGCTATTGTTTTCTGTTCACACAAACAAGAGTACAAAACGATGTTAATATACATGATTCAAACATGTGTTCATAAATATGGACAAACGCGCAGACCACGCAACTACTAGGCCAACTGCATCTGTCCTCGATCCAGTGGCCCGGCGGGGCGGCACGATGAATATCTGCTGCCGGTCCTCGAACGTCTCCAGCTCCTTCTGGATATTCGGGTGGTCCAGCTGGCGCAGGACGTGCACCTCGGCCCAGGGTGCGCGTCCTGCCCTGGCCCCCCGCTCGCCGTCGCTCGGACGTCCCTTCCTCGTGCGTGCGGATCCGAGAAATCCGCGCGGAGCGCTCAAAGTTTATGTTTATGGCGTGTGTTCTTCTTTGAATACTATCCTCTCCTCAATGTCGAGTGCCCTTAGGTCCCCAGTAGTCTTTCAGCCGCCAGTCTTCTAATGAGCATCGATCACCAGAAAGAATTTCGAGCACCAGGACAGTATCGAACCTGGAGGGTTTTCACGTGTCGGGCCCTGGGAGGCGATACTCATTCGACACTGTTCAGGGGGACGTAAGACCTGGGTACAGGGGACTCGGAAATCCCCGACGAAGTCGTCAAAAAAATGACGAGGCCGAGCCTGCATTTAGACGAGGCCTCCCGCTGCAGACATCCCACGAACCTCCTCCTCGTCAAAATCCGAGGCGCGGTCGTCAAAAAACGATGGCGAACCCGAGTCCTGGCAAACCCGGGTCTTACGCTCCCCCGAACTGTTTCGATACTTTTCTGGGTGCTCGAAGTTATTTTTGGAATGTGGTCCTACAGTACGATGGGAGCAACATGAACCCAGTCTTAAGTCGGGCGTGTCCCCCTACAGGGGGATTTTGGACGAAAGTTAAACATATTCAAAAAATGCAAATAAAATGACTAAACATACTCAAAAAATAGTCCCCATATTATTTTCTGACTATGTTTGAATATTCCCCCTGTAGAGGGACAAGCCCGACTTAAACTCAGTCCCCCAGATGGATCATCACTGGGCCCGGGCCCCAATCCTCAATGTTCCCCGGGTTGGCGGCGTGACTCCCGCGTCTCCGGGGCGCTTCCCGCACGACCGTTTCGGTGCCGCGGGCGCCCGAAAACCTCCCGAATGGATTTCCAGCCGGATCTACAAGACACGCCAAGGATGTCCCTCGATCTGCGCGACATCACGCGTATATCTGTCCGCAGACTCGGCGGGGCAATCCACCCTGGGGTGAATCCATTCTGTGGTCGATCCCCTACCCGAAGGCAGGAGGCCTGAGAGAGGGCAGGAGGATGGGATGCACAAAGACGTACTAGTACTATATGTCATCCTTGGACGCGCGCGTCCGACCCGAACATACAGTATACCCATCTTGTAGTATATCGTTTCCCGAGCGGTGCGGCCAGAATGCGCCCGCCACAACGCATATACTATAAGATTCCTCGGTGCGCGCGTCGCCCCTGGGAGGGCGACGCACATACAGTATAAGTATGTTGGGGTGTCGCCGAGAGGAGACAGGAGGGAATCAGGGATGGGGGGCAGCGTCAGCCGGGGGGGCAGCATCGACTCGGAATCGGCGACACACTGCCGATAATGATCGGCGGCGGGCCCCCGACAACTTCGAAGCGCCACGGCCCTGGGCGCGCACGGACTACCGGGCCCGTGTCGGGACACCTGAGCCCATCCCCCCCCCCAAGAACGTTGCCCCTCTGACAGTGAGGGAGGACGCACGACGGGGAGGGGGGCAGGCGGAGAGAGAACGGAAGATGGAGGGCGAAGGAGTAAAGAAAAGGGGATACGATAGGTTCGTGTGGCGCCGGCGCGCGCCAGAGCTTTTTGACACCGCGTCGGCCGATCAGCCCGGAATCAATCGCGGCCCTGATCGTTTCAAAATTGAACTCCGTCGGGTTCCTGGGGAAAGCAAGAGGTACCGATACCGCTACTCCCTGGACCTCCCGGAGTGTGTTCTAATCAGAATCCCACCAGCCCTTTGGGCGCGAGTGGTTTAGAGAGCCCGCTCTGTCCTCAACCCCCCTTCTTCCCCTTCGGGGAGGGGTTTACCCCTCCCCCTACCCCCTCCCCCTGGGCCTGGAGAGGGCGGGCCGCGGGTGGTTGGAGGGGTCTTTTTCGACTCCTGGGAGGGCCAAAAAACGACGACCCTCACGAGGATTCTGGCCCCGACGGGGGGATCCAGAAAAAACCCTCTCCTCTTCTGTGAAGCCAAAACCCTTGCTTTTACGAGGGTTTTGGCCCAATTTTGGCCTCCCGAGGGGGCCGCGCTCATCTTCCTTCATAGCAAAATCATTGATTTTACACAAAGGTTTTGGGCTCATTTTGTCCTTCTCAGGGGGCAGCGCTTCTTTGCGCTTCTGACGAAGTCGCAAGAGGCCCCAAGATGGCCCCAAGAGGCCCCCAGGAGCCTCCCAAGAGGCCTCCAAGAGGCCCCCAAGAGGCCCCCAAGAGGCCCCAAGAGGCCCCCAAGAGGCCCCCAAGAGGCCCCCAAGAGGCCCCCAGAGGCCCCAGGAGGCCCCCAAGAGGCCCCCAAGAGGCCCCCAAGAGGCCCCCAAGAGGCCCCAAGAGGCTCCAAGAGGCCCCACGAGGAGCCCGAACGAGGACGAGGGGCCCGAACGACTCACACCACGAAGAGCCCGAACGACTCACACCAGAACGACAGGACGAGGCGCCCGAACGACTCACACCACGAGGAGCCCGAACGACTCACACCACGACGCGGGCCCCGAACGACTCACACCACGAGGAGCCCGAACGAGTCACACCAGGAGGAGGGGCCCGAACGACTCACACCAGGATGAGGGGCCCGAACAACTCACACCACGAGAAGCCCGAACGACTCACACCAGGACGAAGAGCCCGAACGACTCACACCACGAAGAGCCCGAACGACTCACACCAGGAAGAAGGGCCCGAACGACTCACACCAGGACGAGAAACCCCAAACGACTCAAATCACGAGGAGCGCTTTCTCTCCCTCCTCCTCCGCCTCGTCCTTCTCCCGCTCCCCCCACAAGGAGGATGTACAAGGAGGCGGGAGGAAGGAGGAACAGGGGAGATATGCGGGGCCAAACGGACACACGCCTGAAAAACACGACTGTCGGCATGCTTCGCATGAGTTCCTGTTGTGAGATGGGCTGGTGGGGATACGCGAAGCGTAAAGAATTTCGAGGCGAATCCAGCGGTGGTGAGGAGGGCCGCCCAGGAGGCCCAACAAGGGGAAAAGGAGCGAAGGGTAGAAGTATGGGTACCTTTTCCTCCTCTGAGTTCAGTTGCAATTTCATGTCCCTCGGTGCTTCCGCGTCGCAGAGTTCGACCTGGAACGCCTTCGCCGGCGCCGCCGGCGCGCCACGGCCGCACGAACCTGCCGTAGGACAGGAGGAGGGAGGAAGGAAGGCACGAGGGGCTGGAATTCCGAGGGCTCCCATTGGGGGTGGCGGCGCGGGGAATTTCATTCCGACGCCATGCTGCAGGAGGAGGCGGCCGTCCCACAGGGTGGGGGGGCTTCCCAGCAGAAAGCCCGTGACCCTGCCTACCCTGCTCGCCGAACAAGAGTCTTCGCGACGCTCCTGGACACCAGCCGTGGCGACGAGGACCACTGGCGCGGCAAGAACAACGAGAAAGGCGAAATACCCGCCAGCCCCCCTCCTCCCCCTGCTCAAGGCCACCCGCCCGCCACAGTACACCCCAACACCGTACCGAAACGACAGCGAAGCTCAAACCGAAACCCAAGCCGACGGGTCGCAATCAGCCCAGGAGGGCGCAACGACGTAGCAACTGACACGGCAGCCGACCGAACCGAACAGGCCTACGTAATCCACCCGCCCGCGAGGCAATCGACCCGACCGAACCGCGGACCCCCCTTCTCCTCTTCCTCCTCGCACGAGCGCGACCACGACAAGAGAATCCGAAGCAGAGATCGGGAAGAACATGGCAACGCTAGCTCAAGCTATAACGGAGGGGTAGGGGACAAGAGGGAATGAGGAGACAAACAGAAGAGAGAGTGCCCTCTCTACTGCCGCTGCGTCGTAGTGCCCTGCTCCTGCTCCTCCTTCTCCTCCTCCTCCTCCTCCTCATGCATGCCAATTCCTCCGAGACAGCGCCAGCGGCGGCGGCATGATCCCCCGAGCCGAGCGCGTGCTTCAGGAGCGTGGCGTGGGACTCGCGCGTGGAGAGCATCTCCTCCTTGGCCTTGATGTCCCTCGGAGTGGCGATGGCCGTCGTCGGCGACGTCGTCGTCGCCATCGCCGTCGCCGCCTTCGCCGACGTCGTCGACACATTTTCACTGACGTCGTCCTGGTCGGAGGCGGATGAAGGGGGAGGGGGGAGGCGGGACAAGGAGGAAGCGGTTTTCGAATATTTGTGTCTAGGTTCGAGCAGCCCGGGCCTCGTCGAAATCCTTCGACGGAGCCTGGAATGGTGTTGACCGGACACCCAGTGGCATGGCGGTATGGCCCGTAACCATCAGAGGAAGGCGGGTGGCGGGCGGGGCGGGAGGTGGGCGGCGCAGCGCAAGGCAACATGGTCCAGCCGAACATCCCCGTGCAAGCATCTCGGTGTGCGTGTCGCTCAACACCGCCTGAAGAAATAGGGAGGGACGGGAGGGGAGGGGAGGGGGGGGGGAGGAAGGCCGTGTCGTCCCTCCTCCTCCTTCTCCTCCCTGTTGTGGCCCGAGGCCCGTCTGGATGGGCCGGGCGCGCTTCGCGTGAGACCCCCTTACCGTTGCTGATCCTGTGGCTTCAGAGCGGATAGCAGCTTCACAGAGGGAGGGCAGGTCGCTTCACAGAGGGAGGGCCGCGCACACTCGTCTGAGGTATCATTGCGGAGGACCCGACCATATGCCATTGTGAGCACCTTCGTTGCGGGAATCGCCGTCGGATACCTCCACACGGGGCCATGTAGCATGCGAAGGGTGCGCCGATTTGGGGCGGGGCTGCCATGTGGGCGTTGCCAATTGGCTTTGGAACCCACTATGGGACCGCAAAACGTGCAAAGGGCGCAGCAATGGGGCTGGGCCTCCAATGGGGCCTTCGGTGGAGCTCCCTATGGGGCCACGGAGCGCTGCACTGGATGTGTGAAACCCGTGCGAACACCGCCACTGAGGCCTTTGGTGGAGCACCCCATAGGGCCACGGAACGCTGTACTGGGCGGGTGGAGCGCATGCGAACACCGCTACTGAGGCCTTCGGTGGATCTCCACATGGGCCTACGAAGCGCTGTGCTAGGTGGGAGGACCGCATGCGAACACCGCCACTGGGGCCTTTGGTGGAGCTCCCAAGGAACACGGAACGCTGTACTGGGCGGGGGAAACGCATGCGAACACCGCCACTGAGTCACTCGGTGGGGTCCCTTCATGGGGGCACGAAACGCTGTACTGGGCGGGGGAACCGCATGCGAACACCGCCAGTGAAGCCTGCGGTGGAGCTCCCAGAGGACCACGGAACGCTGTACTGGGCGGGGGGAACCGCATGCGAACACTGCCATTGAGGCCTTCGGTGGGGCGCCCTGTGGGGACACGAAACGATGTCCTGGGTGGGGGAACTGCATATGAACTCCGCCACTGAGGCCCTCGGTGGAGCTCCCTATGGGGCCACGAAGCGCTGTCCGGTGGGGGAACCGTATGCGAACACTGCCACCGATGCCTTCGGTGGTGCTCCGTGTGGGTCAACAGAGCTGGGGGGGAACCGCATGCGGATCACCGCCACTGGGGCCTTCGGTGGAGCACCTCATGGGGCCACAGCGAGCTGTACTGGGTGGGGGGGGGACCGCCACTGAGGCCTTCGGAAGGACTCCACATGGGCCCACGAAGCGCTGTACTAGATGGGGGAACAGCATGCAAACACCGCCACTGAGACGTTCGGTGGAGCCTTCTTATGGGCCCACCTATCGCTGTACTGGGCAGGGGAACCGCATGCAAACACCGCCACTAAGGCCTTCAGCGGAGCTACTCATGGGGTGACGAAATAATGTGCTGGGTGGGGGGACGCAAGCGAAGACCGCCGCTGAAGCCTTCTGTGGAGCTCCCTATGGGACTGCGACGCGGTGTACTGTGTGGGGGGAACCGCATGCGAACACTGCCAGTCAGGCCTTCGGTGTACCTCCCTATGGGGCCACGAAGCGATATACTGGGTGGGGGGACCGCATGCGAACGCCGCCACTGAGGCCTTCGGTGGAGCTCCCTATGGGGCCACAAAGCGCTGTACTGTATTGAGGAACAGAATGCGAACACCGCCACTGAGGCCGTCGGTGGTGCTCTGCATGGGACCACCGAGCGCTGTAGTGGGCGGGGCAGCGCATGCGAACACCGCCACTAGGGTCTTCGATGGAGCTCCCTAGCGGGGGGGAACGATGAGGGGGGACTGACATAGGGGGGAATGCATCGACCTGGAATCGGCGATACATCGCCGATAACTCAGCGATAAGCCCCCGATAGTGAGTCCGTACACTCCTGGGCCGGATGGGGCCATCGGGTCCCTATCGGCGATCAATCGGCGATTGGGGGTCGAAGTGTCCCCCTTTATGCCTCTTCCCTCCCTATCGTTGCCCCTGACCGATGGGACCACGAAATGTGTGAGGGGTGTGCCGAATTGGGATGGGGAGGACAGAGGCAAGGAGGAGGGGGAGGGGGAAGGACGAAAGGAAACGCTGGGCGCTCTCTTCAAAACGAACACACTACGACAAATTTCATGGGGAAAACAAAGAAAACAGCTTCAAGGATTGAGAGCGGGTCGTTTTCAAAATGTGGCTCTCCTCCAAGCGCCGCGCACATTCTTGCGCCAAAAGTGCAAGTGCTTCACGGATTGAGGGCGGTTTCTTTTGTAAATGCGGCGCTCGCCTGAACGCCGCATTCACAGATCGCCCGGAAAGCCGCTGTGAGAATCGCCCGGGTGCTGGAAACGGATGCGGAGCAGAACGCACAGCGATGTGTTGTGTGTGTACCCCCCCCGACGCCCGACGCAGCCCCATATGCAGGATCCTCTTCTGACGTGCGTCGCCGAAGTGCGCCAGCCAGTCAGTGTAGGAAGGCACCAACTATACACCAACACCGATCCTGGCCAGGATTACCCTGGGCCCAGGATCGGTGTATACGCCCTCCTGCCTTGGGCAAGAAGGCATATACACCGATCCTGGGCCCAGGGTGATCCTGGGCCAGGATCGGTGTTGGTGTATAGTTGGTGCCCTCCGATCAGTGGTGTCAGGAGCGAGAGCGGGAGAGGGAGCGGAGGAGAGAGAGAGGGACGCGGGGGAGCGAGGACGGGACGCTCCGCAGACGCTCAGACGCGCCGCGCCGCGACGCTCGGCCTGTCTCGCATCCCTGGGACTGTGCCTCCTGCGCGCCTGTACTTTGGACGCCCCAAATTGACTACCTACCAGACCACCCCAACCCAACCCGAAGACCCGAATTTCGGGTTGGGGGGGGTACGGGTTCCACATGTGTTTTCTCGATGTTCCCCGCCCCCCCCCAAACTGGAAATGGAGGTTAAATTGAGGCCTTCGGGTTGGGTTGGGGTGGTTTGGTGAGTGGTGACAAATGGGTACGGAAAAAATGGGTACGATGCCCAACCACAAATGCAGTCCCAAACCGGCAGCGGCCGCAGATGGGCAAAAGCGGCTTTTCGACTTCACAGAGCAGCGTCCGCGACGGCGCGGACAGCGAGGCCTTTTCGAAATGAACCAGAGCCGCTGTGGGGTATCGTACCCCTTCTCTTTCCGCACCCACCTGCTGCACGGCAGGCGCTGGTTTTTCCGAGACCCAGTGGATCGTTCCGCCCTGAAACGTCCGCTGGGGAGGCCGCCGCCGCGCCGACACACGCCACGAGCCTGCCGTGTGGCCGCGCCCCGCAGCCTCGGAGCGCCCGAGAGGCCCTTGCCCGAACTCGGCTACACGCAAGGTTGCCTTTGGGCAAGGGTGATGGGCCGGTCAAGTGGGGAGCGAGAAATCACATAACGTAACAACTCGGAGGTCCGCGCGGGTTTCTTGGAACCGCGCTTCCCTTGCGCGCCTGTGGGGCGGCGCCTGAGGCGCCGCCAAGAGTGTCCAGCGCGGATCCGAAAAACCCGCGCGGACCTCCGAGTTGTTGTTTATATTTATGTCATTCTTCTATCCCCTAGTCAACAAGCGTTGGCAACTCCGAATTCTGGCGAAATCGAGCCTTGCGTTTCCCCGAGTGTTCCGCGCGGGGCATCCGCGGGGGATAACAAAAAACAAACAAAAAGCGCCCCGTATCCGCGCGGGGGGTCGCGGCGGCCCAGAAATCCGGCACGGGAGGCCGCGCGTACGGAGATGGTTTTCACCTACGGCCAGCCCTTCTCCTGCCTCCCTCCTCCTCCCTCCCCCCTCCTCCCTCCTCCCCCCTCCTCATACGTCTCCTCCTGCTTCCCCCGTTGGAGGCCACCCCGCCGAGGGTCCTCTGCAATGCGAACCGCTGGATCAGGCGGACCGCCACGAGGTCGTCCCTGGCCTTCCCCCCGACTCTTGCCTGGCGCGCACGGCAGCTCCGCGGGAGCAGCGTCACCACGATGCGGGGACACAGAGAGGGGGGGGGGCAAAAGGTGCAGACACCTCCGCGCCGGCGGCGAGTGGACAGACACGGAGCAAAGACACCGGCGGGCAAGAACGAGCACTGGCCGTAGTTGGGGCCACGAGGAGGGAGAGGGGGAGTGAGGGATGGAGTTGGCATTGAGGAGAAGGGTCCTGGTGAAAGTGGGTCCTGGACCGAATCCCAAAATGTTTTCTGGCAGTCCTGGGGCCCACGAAGAAGAATCAGACAAATAAGAAACATGAGAAACATAAGGAGGAGCATAAGAAAAATAAGAAACAATAGAAACATAAGAAACAAAAGAAAAAAAAAAAAAACATAAGAGGAAGATCCCCCCGGGAGCCCAACCTCGGCGACACCTCTCCAGGACCCCCCTTTCCTCCCCCAGGGCGCGGTTCCTGGAGGGGCAACGCGAGGGGCAGATCGGCGACCAGCTCAGGAGGAGGAGGAGGAGGAGGAGGAGGAGGAGGGGGAGGAGGAGGAGGAGGAGGAGGAGGAGGGGGGGGGCACATCGAGCTGGAGTCGGCGATACATCGCCGACAGATCGGCGATCGGTCCCCGATGCCAGGTCCGAGCGGTCCCGGACGGGGCGGGCTCTCGGGCGCCCGTCGGCGATGCGCGGGCGACGGGGGGGTCGGTGCAGTGCTCTCCGAGCCTACCGCTGCCCCTGATGATCCTCCTGGCGAAGCATCGACGAGCGCGGTCCCCTGCTCGACGCGCCACTGCTCGCAGACGCCCCGGACTCGCCGCGGAATTGGAGGGGCCCTGGGACACACAACGCAATCGACGCAGATGGCTGGTTTCCCACCATGTTCCCATCGTTTCTGGTGGGTGTCTTCCCCCCCACTTCCCATAGTTTCCCATATCTTCTGGGGAATCGACGATTCATTGTGCCTGTGTGTTTTTGCCCTCCTGAGATGGATGAGCTGCGACATCGAGGCAAACACGCGTTTCTCGGACGGTTGCGAGTAGGCACCTGGCGAGTAGGGGAAAGCGCTCGGTGAGAGCAAGCGAGCAACGTCGAGGGGGAGGAAGGGGGGGAGCAAGGGCAGGAGCGGGACAATGTCGACGCCGCGGCCACAGCCAGCGTGGACGAGGACGGCCGAAGCCGGCGAGCTCCCGACGACGACGACGACGACCGCAAGCGACGACGACGACGGCAAGCGACGACGACGACCTCGACAACGACGACGACGACGACGGCGGCGGCGGCGGCGGCGGCGGCGACGTCGATCCATGCCCGCAAGGTGCCCGACGACGACGCCCGCCGACGACGGCCGAGGCCGACGCCGCCGAAGAGGACGACGCTGGCCACGGCGCCCACGACGGCGGCGGCGGCCCGTGGCCGACGACGCGGCGCCAGGCCGCCTTCGAGCCCTTCCGCCTGGCGAGCTTCAGCATGCCGTGGCGGCCTGCGGCGGGACGGCCGCAAGCCCTACGCGGGGGGGCCTCGGCGTGTCCCCGGCCCCCGCCGGCCTGGCGTTGTCGTCGTCGTCGTCGTCGTCGTCGTCGTCGTCGTCGTCGTTAACGTCGTCGTCGATATTTTAAACGTCATCGTCGTGCGCCGTCGTTTTCGTCGTGGTCGTCGTCGTTGTCGTTGTCGTAGGTGGTAGTTGTTGTTGTCGTCGCTGTCGTCGTTGTCGTCGTCGTTGTCGTTGTCATCGTCGCTGACCGTCGTCGTCGTCGTCGTCGTCGTCGTCGTCGTCGTCGTTTTTGGCCGTCGTCGTCGTCGTCGTCGTGCGCCTCTCAACCGCTCATTCGGCCTCCCGGGGCGCTCGGCGCCCCGGGCCTCATCGCCGCGCCGCTCCTTCGGTGAGCTGCCCGCCTGAGGTCGCGCGCAGGCGCCCTCGTCTCCCATGCAGCGCGCCGCGCTGGCGGCCCGCGCACGCCGCGGCGCACAGTCCACGTGCCATCTCGCGCAAGGCCCGTCTTGGATCGCCGCCCATGCGGCGTGCGGCTGAGGCTTGGCATACCTCCGTGTCCGGTTCCGCGCGTCCACCGCTCAAGTGTCATCCTCGCCGTGGCGGAAGCGGGCCCTGATCTGGCGGGGCATGGGACGAGGATAAATCCGTTCCACAGCGTTCCGGAACGCTCTCAAACGGTTCTGGAACGTTCTGAGACGTCCTCCTGAGCCGCCGGATCTCAGAAATGCTCGAGGTATCCTCCCCCGAATGTTGTTCTCGTGCTGGCCTCGTCGTGCTCCTCCCCTTCCAGCCACCTCTCGGGGCCGTGTCCGTCCTTCTGGCGCGCTGCGCCGTGCTGCAGGCGCGGGGGCGACAGAAACAGGAGGCCACTGCCGCCTGTCTTGGCAGCGGAGCGCGTCCCGACGCCGTGTGGAGGCGGGGGGCCCGCCGTCGCCGAGCCACGCGCCTGGATCCATGTGCTGCGGTTCCTCGAGTTAAGTCGGGGCATGCCCTCTTACAGGCAGATTTTGGAGGACAAATGGGGCCCAGCGCGGATCCAGGAAATCCGCGCGGAGCGCCCAAAGTTTGTGTTTAGGGTTGTTCTTCGAGTCGAGGCCTTCGGGGGTGCCCGCGGGAGAGGCCCGCTGTCGTCGGGCTGCGGGGGTCGTCTTCGACGGCTGCGTCGGAGACCCGCGGCTCGCGGACGTCGGCGGAAGCAGCTTCCGCGTCGAGGTCGTCGTCGTCGTGTTCGTGGCCGCGGTCGTCGTCGTCACCATCGCCGGCGGCACCAGCATCGACGTCGGCCTCGACGTCGTCGTGATCGTTGTTCTGTCGTCGTTGGTCCGCTGCGTGTGCGAGCTGGATGGCGGGAACAGGTCGCAGTATCACGGGAAGGCTGCAGAACGAAAAGTGGCCCTGGGGCGGAGCATCGAGCAGTTCCCATCTCCTCCCCTGAGGCAAAAGCACGATACAAACAGCATGGGGTACGTATCCCTCGGATATCTCCGAGAGATCGCGAGTCCGAAAGAAACATGGGCTCACGCTGCAGCCACTCCGCAGCGTCCGATGACGTCATGGAAAGGCTCTGGAACATGATATTCGTACCTGCAGGCTGCCTGGTCCCCCTGTTTTCGGGATCGAGAAAGCGACCTGAACATGAATAGCACATGACTTTGGAACTGCAATGTTATTACCGCGGTGTGTCCCCTTGAACCAGCGGGCACAAATGGCGCGTGGCTCGGGACTGGACGGGCACGCCCTTCACATCTTCGTCCGATCACCTTGCGGCCCCCGTGACTACTTTCAACGCCCCGAAAAAACGCGCCAACCAGCGCCTCAAACCGCAGCTCGAAAACAACCGCACTAGGCGACGATAGAAAGCGGCGAAGAGCAGACGACACATCATGCTGCTCGAATGCGCGCACGGACGGGTCAAATGCACCAAGAGGGCCAACGCGGCAGCGTAAATCAGGCGATCAGTATATGCAGCACACATATCGTACGTATGTTTGTGTGACCGTTTTGTTCCCGACGTTCGTTTTCCAACTCCCCTTCCGCTTGAACTTCAAGCCGAGGGCGATGCCACAACGCGATCCAACTGAACAGCAGCGAAAGCGGGGAGCCCACGGCCCTCGAAAGTGAGAGAGAGAAGGAGAGACAAACCCGACGTCTCGAAGGAAGGCGCTGTCTGGCCACTCGGATCCTCGCCCCCTGGCGCGGTCCGCCCCTATGTCGCGGGTCCAAGACGGGGTCGATGGGGTAGTGATCCAGCACTGGCCAACGACGCCCTCACGCACAACATCGGGTGAGGGGTCCTCGAACCTTCCGGGCCAGCGAACCCGAAGACCTTGGAAGGGGGCCCGAACCGCCAATAGCTGGCTGGAGGATTAAGCTTGAAAGCGCGCACTGCGCCAATCGTCGTGGGCCAGGGGGTTTTGGCATCCTCCTCCAACTCCTTTCCCTCCTCCTTCTCTTCCTCTTCCTCCTCCTCTTCCCCCTCCAGTTCCTCCTCGTCCTTTTCCTTCTGTGCCTCCTCCTCCTCCTCCTCCTCCTCCTCCTCCTCCTCCTCCTCCTCCTCCTCGCCAGTCCCACTTTCGTCGTCCGCCTCCCCTCCCCCACGCCCTGCGACCGACGACTGTCCCTTCTAAACTCTGCCCCTGCCGAAAAACTCAGACACCCCATGCAGTTTTTTGATCAATCAAAAAAGCGCGCCAGAAAGCCGGAACTCCAAGAATTACACTATTGTTTCTCCCGCCGTCGGACGAAGGTGAAAAAAATATGGGAACGCATGGCCAACATCGGCGGGACTTTTCCGAAGCCTTCGCGCCGTCTGAAAAGGTGCCCCGCGTTTTCGGGAATGGTCTGGACGGCTTCTCAGGAGGCCGAGAAACCTCCTAGCCTTTTTGTGACGGCCCGCCCCTTCCCCACTCCCCCCCTTGCTCGCCGCCGACCTTTTCGCTGCTCTGTCATGCCCCAGTCAGAACGATCCCATAGACCCTTCCAAAGGGACGTGGGCGAATGATGACGAATTGGCCGAGTGGACGTGGGACGTGGGCGTTTCACCCCGAGTTGGCGAATGATGACCCCGCAGCCCCAGGCGAACCTGCACGGGCTGAGCCCGAAGACAACCATGTTCGGACATTCGTCCCCCTCCGCCTGGTTTCGCGCAGGAATGACCGTTGGCACGGGCCACCCAGTGGGCCGCTGGTTCGCGGCCTGGTTCATGTCAGCTTGTGATTAACAAGCCTTGCCAGAAGTCGTTGATTAGGCCGCCCTCCTCCCTGTGGCCCTCCTCCTGATCTTGCTCCGCTACGGCGCTTCTCCCCGAACGCAAGAGGCTGGGTTCGCATCGCAAGGCCCGCGCGAATGAATGCAACGGGCATCGCGCACTGCAGGGCGCAGCGCCTGCGAAGCAAGCTCACATGCTCAATGCAGCGGGCACCGCGCACTGCGTGGTCCGCGAACGGACCATGTCGCGGGCATTTGAGACAACGCACATACTGGAAAACGCGGATTTGACACATGCACCACGCTGGACTGTTGTGCGGGCACGTTCCAGTTCGGGGGAGGCGCGTCGTTCATGCCGTTGGTCCTCATCCGCGATGCAGTCGCAAAACCCCACCGCGCGTGATTAAATCATTCGTTTTTTGTGCCCCGCGGGGTCTACCAACCATGGGGGGGGGGCTCACATATGAATGACAAACTGACACGAACGCTGTACACGACCATTGGCATGGAGCAAACAGGTGCGGAGGAAAACGGGTCCTACACCCCAGGGCCTTGCCTCAGCTCGTTTTCCGGAGTCGTTTTTCTGACGGTCCACGGCCACGGGTCCGTGGAAGGACCAGGGAAGTCAGCAAACATCACAAAGAATCCGGGCCTGTTTCCCTCAGGAGCCCGTTCTTTCCAAAAGAGTCTGCTTCCCCCCCACCCCCCACCCCACACAAGTCCGTTGTATTATATTATTTGCGGTGGCGCCCGCGACCGGCCCTGCCCCCCCCCCTCCCCTTCTCGCCTGGTCATGTCACCACTCGGGACAGCGCCGTCTGGGAGGGCGTCGGCAAGAATGGTGACGTGACCAGCCCCCTCTGCCCCCCCCCAGTCACGCCCGTTACCGCCCGTGGATAGAAATCCCTCTTTCCTCCCCGCAGCGTGCGCTGCCCAACTTTGCCCACGCGCGCTTCAGAGCCAGGACGAAACCAAGCTGTGGCAAGCTGCGGGGGGCCTGCGCAATGGCTGGGCCCGCCGTAGCCGGAGGACGCGCACGCTGCGCGGGGCAGCGCCCATCTCGGCTCTTGCACTTCACGTTCGCCCCCGCCCCCCCCCCCAAAAAAAACATCCCCCCGCGGACGCGCCCCGCCAAGGCCGCGCAACAAGCAGAGGTCACTCTGGCGAGGGGCCACTCGTCCGCGCAGTCCGCCCTCCCCCCGTTGCGCCCCCCCTGCACGGGGAGCGGCGCCCGGCAGTCCCGCCAGCCTTGGCCCAGCGTCTTCACCATGACGTACCTGCCCGCGGCTGCGGAGGTGCCAAGGCGAGCGAGGGCTCGAAGGGATCCTCATCCTCTCCCTCGTTCTCCTCCTCGGTTGACGCTCCCCCACCTCCTCCCCCCCTCCTCCTCCTCCTCCTCCTCCTCCTCCTCCTCCTCTCCATGATGCTGTTAATCTCTCGTCCACCTCCTCCTCCTCCTCCTCCTCCTTCTCCTCCCCCTCCCCCTCCTCCTCCTCCTCCTCCTCCTCCTCCTCCGCCTCCGCCTCCTGCTCCATTCCTGTCCCCTACAAATGACTCCTCCATGTCGCACCCCGAGGCCAGTCGGAAGGGCGGGCCAGGCGTTTCGCCTGAGACGCCCTTGCCACTCTGATCCAGAAGCCTAGAAATTGGTAGCGGCTTTACATATAGAAGGCGGAACGCTTCAGAAATGTGGCTCTCGCTTTAGCGCCGCGTGCAGTCGTCTTACACAATTGCAACCGCTGCTCGGATAAAGGGCGGGTCGTTTACATAATGTGGGTATCGCCTTAGCGCCACGTGCATTCGTCTTACAACTGCGCAAGGGTTTCACGGATTGAGGGCGGGCCGTCTTCAACATGCGGGTCTCGCCTTCAAGCATCGCGCGTTCGTCTGGATAAGTTTCGGGAGCTTCACGGAATGATTGACTGCGGTTCTTGTTCAGAATGTGGCTCTCGCCTCAGCGTCGCGCTCATCAGTCGTAAACACTTCAAGAGTTTCGCGAATTTCCATGGTTCACGCACCAGAAAAAAGGGTTTTGAAACGATTCAGGGCTGCCACGGCGCAACCGTCACATTGATTCGCGCTGTCGAAGTCCCAGAAATTGTGTTCGATTCAAGATCGTCTAGACACAACAATCAGGTTGATTCCTGGCGCTGGAGTCCCTAGAATGGTGTTCGGCACGCTGCAAGATGCGCAAACGGTTGTCTCCCAACGAGGCAATTTCCGCAGTGGGACTGAACCCTTCTATGGGGACTACGAAGAGGGAGTTGGGAGGGAGGGCTCATTCCGACACTGTTTATGAGCCAAGTGCCCCCCCTCGTCCTCCTTCCCCTCCCACTCCACCTCGTCCTCCCCCTGATCGTCCTCACCCTCCTCCCTATCCCGCGGAACCAAAAATACAGAATCATAATATTTCGACGCTCCGCGCGGATTTTTTGGATCTGCGCTTGACCCCCCTCCCTGGCGCGCGGAGCGCGCCAGGGGGGCGACGTCGGAGGCGCCGCCGGTGGGACCCAGCGCGGATCCAAGAAATCCGCAAGGAGCGCCACAAGTTTATCTTTATCCCGTGCTTTCTTTTTCTTCTTCGATGATCCTCCTCTCCGCGGGGGCGCGCATACATGGATTATCGATCCATCGATTTGGGCGCGCGGTCGCCAAATCCATGGATCGGGGAGGCGCCCTCCCCGAAAGTGCGGGCGGTGCCACCCCGCTCGGCGGCGGAAATCCGCGATTCCCCATGGAAGCGGGACCCGTCGCTGATCCACGCCCCCCTGATCCATGTTTGCGGTCGCCCGATCCCCTCCTCCGTCCTCATCACATCTCCTCGATCCTCCCCTCCTCCCCGCCGAGGAACTCCCCTGGCACCCCCAATTCAGCCCTTCTTCTTCCCCCTGCCTCTGCGCCTCCCCCGCCCCCCCCTCAACACGCCCTGGTTGGACAAGGAGGGGACGAGGACGGTGAGGAGGAACGTCGGAGGGAAAGGGAGGGAGACCGGGAGATCGGAAGGAGGGGAGGAGACGAGGATTTCTAGCAACCAAACAACAAGGACGGCGACGAGGAAAGAGGATGGCTCGAGGCCCAGTCTCGACTTTGACCCCAGGACGCTGGGGATGCTTGGGGAGGAGACGAGGAAGAGATTGAGGTACAGGAGGAGGTGAAGGAGGCGGCGCCTGAGTCAGCAGATGGACAAAAACTCAACAGGACACAATGAATTACCGCTGGGACACCTGTGGACCTGTGGGCTACTGAGCCCATTGCGCTGAAAAGAGCAGGAGGAGGAGGAAAGGAGGGAGGGAGGAGTACCAGGGGGGTGGAGGCGAGGGGTACATATGGGAGGAGGGGAAGGAGGAAGACGACGAGAAGGAAAGGGGAGGAGGAGAAGAAGGACGAAGACCACGACGGGGTGTCTCAAATAATCCCGCCCGCGAACGCGCACATGGCCCCGGGCTGACTGGCCCGCCGCAAATTCCCCGCCCCGCCCCCCCACCCCTTGGGCGCACCCGCTGTCGGCGAAGGCCTTCTGCTTGTGCCGCCTCGAGGTGTGGAGGGGGGAAGGGGGGAGGAAGGCGAGGCGAGGCGAGGCGAGGCGAGGCGAGGCGCCGGTCAATCGTCCCGGGGGACGGCCCTACAAGAGCCTGGCGGTGGCGCCGGAGCGCCGAGAGACGAGTGATTATGCTACCGCTCTTACTTTCAGCCCTGCTTGGTCAGGCTCCTGCGAGCCCACGAGGGCTCCATGCAGGGGGAGGGCGACAACGACGGCGAGACGACGACGACGCCGACGACGACGAGGGGGGAGGAAGAGGAGGGGGAAGGACTGCTGATTGTGCCTCCTTGTGCGAGGGAGGAGGAGAAGAGAAAACAGAAGGAGGACACAGACCTCCCAGCGCCTGTATCAACCAATTGAGGAGGGCGCCTGTTCCGCGACGTCAGCCTCGCTAACTGATTACGGTCCCCGGGACATCTGAAAACGATCGGGGCCGATCAGACGGACACATGGAAGTGGGAAGGGGAGATGCTACCTGGCCTGTCACTCCAAGGCTAGGATAACGGCGATTTTGCTCAACGGTGATGTTGGCAACCAAGTAAAAGAAACTCCAAAATCACACTTTCCTACATCTCCAATCTGCGAATGGATCGAGCCAACACGACGCAGCGAACTGCAGGAAAGCGTCAGCCGCGCGTTGCCACACGACCGAAACCTACATCGCCGTTACCCACATCGCCGTCTGCCCGTCCACAGTCACTGTCATTTCGGCGAAGTGGGAAACCATTCTTCCTGCTCCTGGCAGGAGAGCCCAGAATCGAATCGATGAATCGGATCGGCAATCGAAATGAATCGGATATGCGGAAATCCGCAGCCGAGCCGGGAAAAGTCGAAACGGCGGAAGTCGGCAGGCCAGTAGGCCTCCGTTAAGAAAGCGGAGCCCGGATCGGCATCCAAACTCGAATCGAATCGGAATCGGAAACCATCGAAATCGAATCGGATCGAACCAGAGGAACCGACACGAGCCCTGTCCTGAAAACCGTCCCTCGCCCCAGATCGCCGCCTGCTGGGCGGGCCCCCGACGGGGGGACGAGGGGGCACGGGGGGGGGGACCGGCGCGGTCGTGAAGAGACACGCCGGAGGGCTGGGAGTCGAGCGCCGCCGTCCGGCAGGCCCGGAATGGTGGCAGAAGTGGGCGGCATCTCGAGTGTTCGGCCTCTGGGGCTCCCGCTGCCGGGGGCCAGGGGCGTGAAGAGATGCAGGTTGGACGGCAAACACCCCCCTGCGAATGGGTCGGGAGGACGTCCGGGGGCCGCGCACTGAAACAGAAGGCACACATCGTCGGAGGCCTGGTCCCGCACGTCGCGCCGCAAAAACACACCCGGGTTCTGGCCAACTCTCTGGAGGCCGTCTCCTGGTGCGGGGACCTGACAGTGGAGGCCAGTCCACAAGAGACCTTCCACGAGAAACCCAGCCCTGAGACCCCAGGACGTCCATGGATTTTTGGTGTGGGAACGTCACTCTTTCCACAACAAAACCATCGAAACCGTCTGGCATGCCCGTAATGGTGACAGAAATGATCAGGACGATGCCACACAACACAAAAAACCGAACTCCATTTTAGACGCCCGCAGTGAGTACGGAACAAATGAGTACAATGCCCAACAACAAATCTTGTCCAAAACCGACAGCGGCAGCTGTTGAGCAGGCGGCTTCATGTCTTCAAAGAGCAACGTCCGCGGCGGCGCGGACAGCGAGTCCTGTTCAAAATGACAAGGAACTGCTGTTGGACATTGTACCCGTTCTTTCCGTACAAATTTCGATCGTCCCGATCCATACACCGACGCGCCTCTGGCCCTGCACTGAAGCTCGCACAGGGGAGCGGATCCTGGTGCAATTACCCAGGGATCATGGCGTATACATGCTTCGCTGCCTCCCCGTGGAGACGGGGGGAAGCACATACACCACACCAATCCCGACGTCGCCCCCGACACTCCAAATGTCCTGGGGTTGAAAAGCAGCCTGCCACTGGTACTGTACATGTTCCAGTGTCCGACAATACGTGCCGTGCAAGGCCGACAGCGGCCCAAGTCGACGAGGCAACAGGCAACTCACGGCGGACAGGCGACGCTGGCCCCAAAACTGACAGAGTTGTAAAGTATCAGCGCTCAACCCTGACACGAACTGCGTCGGGCGCGTCCAGCTCGCCATCGCTCGCACGTCCAGGGGGGGGGGGGGGGGCGGCGCATCGTGGCCCGGGGCACGTGCGCGGACCAGGGGGGGGGGGAGGGGGGGGCAGGGACTTGGCCGAGGGAGCCAGACATTTGGAAGACTGCATGACCCCGACCATGACATCCATACACCCCTACAGTAGGGGCTGGACCACAAGAAACCTTCCACAGGAAACCCAACCCTGAGTCCCCAGGACGTCCTCTCATCTCTGGTGTTGGGAACGTCACGCTTTCCATAGCAAAACCGTCGCAACCCAAGAAGCCTTGGACACCCTGGAGGCAAGAAGGGTGTGTCTTGGCATGGGTCTCCACTGTAATCCTCACCCCACCTCCCTCCTGAACGCCCCCGAAACAAGAGCCGATGTCGGTCGCCGTCCCCGCCCTGTCCTTTCCCCGTTTCGGCCCTCCCAAGCCCAAGGCTCCACGGGCCAACTCTCCCTGAGGGGGAACAACACGGGTGGACCTGGGGAGAAACATCGAGCTGGAATTGGCGGTGCACCGTCGATAGATCGGCGACGGGCCCCGATATTCCAAATCCGCACAGCCCTGGGCGGAGAGGAGGATCGGGCCCCTATCGGCGACCAGTGGGCGATTGGGGGCCGATGCATCACCCCCTGAGCCTGCAGTGGAAGCAAGTCCACAAGAAACCTTCCACACGAAATCCAACCCTGAGACCCCAGGGCGTCAATTGTTTTTGGGCACTGGGAACGCCACGCCTTCCACAGCAAAACCATCGCAACCCAAGGAACCCGGAGCACCCTGGAGGCAAACAGGGTGTTTCTTGGCATGGGTCTCCACTGGTTTTTGGTTTTTGGGTCACAACTCGGGTCTCCGTCAGCCGTTCGGGACGATCCGGGCATCCCTGGAACGCCCTCGGCGAGGCGCTGCTTCTGACAAGCATCCCGAGGCTAGAAAACCGTCGAGGACCGACGACACCGCCCGAAAATCTCGAACCCCGAACCCGAAAACCTCGAACCCGAACGTTGGCTGGCCGCGGCTTTCGAGTCGCAACTTGGCCTCCCATGGCCGCTCAGGGCGACCAGAAAAACCCAAGACCGCCTTGCTGGCGAGGCGGAGCTGCTGGAGCGCAGCCCTATCACGACAACGATACGCCCCTGAAGAAGACGACGCCAGGACGAGAACAACATCGGGCGAGGATAAGTTCGTTAAAAAATCTTATCAAGCGGTTCTTCGCTAATTTCGACCCCTGGGGGCCCTCGCCGGCCCCAGGGACCGTCAAAGAACGACTCAGGATGAAAAACCGGCCCCAGGGAACGGGTCTGGACTTCCGGGGGCGCCGTCCTGAAAAAATCAGGACGTCGCATATCTGGGTCGGGAATCTCTGAGATCCGGCGGCCCTGCAGGATGCCTCGGGCGCCGCGGCCTGCTCAGAGCGCTCAGGCACGCTCTGGGAGCGCTCAAGAACGCTCTGGCACGGATGTATCCTCATCCCAGCCGTGTCCGAACTTCGAGCCTCAAACCGACGACAATGTTGCCCCTCACGCAGTGAGGGTCTGGCCAGGCTGGGCCCAAAACGGGCCCGCCGTCGGGGGCGGCTGAAGTTGCTCCTGGCCCGGGGTGCCCCCAGCTTCTCTCTCAATATTGGAGCCCCTGGTATTGGAGCCCCTGGGGCCCCCTGGGCCTCGCGGAAGGGTGCTCTGGAGACAATGGGTGCCTTCTCTTGGAAGTCGTAGGGGTACATTGGGCAATGGGCACTTCTAGCAACGCCCGAACTGCGCATCGTTTACACGATCCCTACCCCCACGGGCGTGGCCTGGTCCACACTGGCCGATCGATCCCCCTAGATTGGGATATGGGCTGTTCATGTCGTGTTTCGGAGGGCAGATGCCCAGCTGAGGTGGCGAGACGGCGGGGCTCGAGATGTGGATGGGGATGGGATAGGGATGGGTCAAACGATGCTGACGAACGTTGCCCCCGAGTGGTCGGGCCCGTGGACAGAGGGCTGGGGCGGAGGTCGATCGGCGGCGTCCTGCCCCCCCCGAGAGGCCTGTAGAGGTGCACGGTCTCGTCCCCGCGGGCGGCCATGCGCCTGGCCAGGCTCCCCACGAGGTCCTCGTGCCTGCGGGGGGCCATCCCTCGGGAGCGGAAAGCCCACCCGTATGATATAATGAGGAGCGCGCCCACAAGCGATGGCGTTCAGCAGGCGCACCCAAGGAGGGAACCGAGCAACGCAGGGCTGTTTTGTAAACGCCCCGGGCCAGTCAGCAAACGCCAATCATGGGGCCCAAGTTATCGGGGTCGGGGTGGTTTTCCAAGAACAGCTTGCGCAGACCCAGGAGCGAACCGTGCTCATGGGTCTCGAATAGAATTCAAGGGGTCCGACAGCGGGCTCCGTGCGCGGTGACATCGATGTCCTTCCGCCTCGCATGCCCCGCGACTGGCTGGGAGACTTTTCCGATACGAGGAAGGAGGCGGCCCCCAGATCCCCAGATCTCGAATGAAATGACGGTCTTGCACTGCCCCTGGGTGCGCGGCTAAAAAAATATGCGCGGTCCGGATTCTCGTTAGAGCTGATTGCTTGTTGGTTGTTCGTTGTCGTCGTCCTCCCCGCGACCCACCCGCGACCCACCCGCGACCCACCCCGCAGCCCAACCCGCGGCCCGCCCGCGACCCATCGGCGACCCACCCGCGACCCACCCCGCAACCCAACCCGCGGCCCGCTCGCGACCCATCGGCGACCCACCCGCGATCCCCACCACACGAACCCGCCCCCTGAAGCTGATCCGCAGTGCGGGGCGCTCTTTGTTCCCCGAGGTCGGCCTCTGGGGCCCGCTGTCGGGGACCAGGGCCGCGAAGAGATGGAGGCGGGACGGCAAACGCCCCCCGTGGGAAGGGGTCTGGGGACGTCCTCTTGGGCCAGGCAGTGACAAAACATCGCATCGTCGGAGGCCTGGTCCCGCACGTCGCGCCTAAAAAATACGCCCGGGTTCTGGCCAACTCTCTGGAGGCCGTCTCCTGGTGCAGGGATCGTGCAATGGAGGCCCGACCACCAGAAACCTCCTTCCACGAGAAACCCAACCGTGAGACCCCAGGACGCCCACTTGGTTTTTGGTGTGCAACCCGCGGAACCCAAGAAACCCAGGGCACCCTGGAGGCAAGCAGGGCGTTTCTTGGCATGGCCCCCCCCCCCCTCTGTACAGCGGCGAATAGCTCGGGACACGAGAGGACGGCCTCTCGGGGAAGGGTTCGGAGAGATCCCTATGGGGGTCCACGCCACGGACAAAAGAGTGTGGCGTCGGAGAGGGAAGAGGGGGAGGCTGGCAGTGCAGGAGGGAGAGAGAGAGAGAGAGAGAGAGAGCGGGGCGGGGAAGGAGGTGACATTGACATGGTGGGCTTGTTCTCCGCCGCCACCAACAAAGCAGGAAGGGGAGGGGGTCCTCCTCCTCCTCCTCCTCCTCCTCCTGTTCGTTCTCCTCCTCATCATCCTCCACCTCCTTCCCCCCTCCAACTTATGGTGGTGGTGGTGGTGGAAACAGGCCCATGATTAACGGAGAAGCCCAGACTACATAGAGCAGGAACTCCTTCATGGTGACATGCCAGTGCGGTCGCGGCCGCAAGAAACCCGCGCGCGAGGTGCACCTCAGGGGAAACCCGGGGCACCCTGCACGCAGCAACTTCTTCAACGGCTGCGAAAAGTCGCCGCGCAGCGCGCGAAGCGAAGAAACCCAGGAAGTGCTTACAAAAAGAATATGGTTTCTGGATGCGCGCCCCCCGCTGTATCATGACCATAAGCATTACAGAGGTCAGCCGTTTGGTTAGCATCATGGTGCAGCACACCCGATCCCGAATACCACCGTGGTCGTCATGGCCACGATCATGAACATCAGCATCAGCGGGATCGCCGTAATCACCAACATGTTCACAACGATCAACAAAATGGTCGCATTCATTGTCTGAATATGTCTGTTCCTCCTCCTCCTCCTCCTCCTCCTCCTCATCCTCATCCTCAAACTCATCATCATACTCCTCCTCACCATCATCATCAGCATCATAATCATCAGAATCATCATCATCAGCATCATCATCATCATCAGCATCATCAGCATCATCATCATCAGCATCAGCATCATCACCACCACCACCATCATCATCATCATCATCATCATCATCATCATCGTCATCATCGTCGTCATCATCATCATCATCATCACCATCAGCATCAACATCATCATCAACAACATCCACATCATCATCAGCATCAGCATCATCATCATCACCATCATCGTCATTATCATCAGCATCCGCTTCCTCATCATCATCATCCTCATCCTCATCCTCGTCATCATCATCACCATCATCCTCATCACCATTATCCTCATCATCATCAAAATTATCCTCGTTACAAGCATTATCATCATCAGCATCCTCAATATCATCATCAGCAGCATCCCCTTCCTGAGCTCCATCCCTCCTCAAGTCATCCCTCCATCCCCTCTCTCTGCCTCCTATTTCCCTCCCTCCATCCATCATCAACACTGACCTGCCCCTTCCTGCCAATCTACCACCCCTTCCTCAATCCCCGCTACTCCTACTCCCTCACCTCTCCCCCGAATGTTTGACTATTCTTGAATACTCCTCCTGTAGAGTACTGTAGAGGGGCACGCCCGACATAACTCTACATTCAGTGCACATGCAGAATGGGGAAGGTGAAGGGGAGACAAAGAGGACACAGAGAGGGCAAAGACCGACCATGGACATGGACATGGACGCAGAAAAATTGGGGGGGCGAAGGACGGTATCAGATAAGCGTTTCCCACGCCGGGGTATTAACTTTCTGGCTGCCCAGGGGGCAGGCGTCCCCGACGTCGGAAACGTTCCTGTTGCACCGCTCCTCGGCCACTGCAACAGGCCCCCCGAGGGACCCTTCCAAGACCGAAGCCCAGACATGCGACGTCCTGAATGTCTCAGGACGGCGTCCCTGGAAATCCCGACCCTTCCCCAGGGACCGGTTTTTCATCCTGAGTCGTTTTGTTGACGGTCCTGAGGTCTGGCGAGGGCCTCTAGAGGCCGAAAACAGCGAACGACGTGACGCAGCAAACTCAAGCGGAAAGCGGATGGGACACAGCAAGGGGCCATGAAAAGGAAAGGGACCAACACGAACGGGGAAAAGGCACTTGAAGTGAAAGGGGAATACATTAGGAAGGGAAATTGGAAGTAGAACTGGGATCCAGAAGGGGAAGGAGGCATCGAAAGGGGGAAGGACATCCTGATTTTTTTTACGACGCGATCATGTCTGGGAGACGCAAACTCAAAAAGGTGCTCGAACGCGCCAGGCGGCAGCCGCGGCGCCGCGCCGGGCGGCCGGGCGGGCGCCTTCTCTCATCACGGCTGAGCTTCGCGAGGGTGTCGGCCAGGCTGCTCAGGCCAGCGCCGGCCTCCGCTCACCGCGAGAGGCCAGGCTGCGACCGCGCAGGCTTTGCCACCGCCAAGACGTCCACTACCCGTGCGTGTTTCGGTTTCGTGCGTGCTTTTTTTTGCGAAACGCTCCAGGATGCTCCTCAATGGTCCCCGCCGGGGACGTCCGAGCGATGTCAAGAGGAGCGCGCCACGCCGATCGTTCGCCGAGAACAACAAGGTAGGCTGGAGGCATTTGCCCTCACCCTCCGCCCGCCAGATCGACACCCCGGAGGAGGGAGGGAGGGAGGAGGGAGGAGGGGGGAACACGTTGGGCGGGATCGAGGGAGGAGGGACAGAGGAGGGAGGAGGGAGGGAGGAGGGAGCAGGGGGATCGACACCTCTGAGGAGGGGGGAACACTTGGGGGGGCCTCAGGGGTGCTTGGGGAGGTTTATGGAGCGCTTTCGGACCTTGCAGGAGGCTTCAGAAACTTCAGGGATCACTGGCAAGGGGCGAGAGGCGAACGAGGCAGAGTGAGGCAGAACTGCAGAAGGTGGGTGAGGGAAGCGGGACGGAGGATGAGCAGGGAAGCTGTCCTTCCTCCTCCTCCCCATGATCCTCCTCCTCCTCCTCCTCCGCCCCATCCTCATCATCAGCATCATCATCAGCATCCTCGTCACCCACACCCGAATCATCACTCTCACCATTAGCATCAACATCGATATCAACACCACCATCATAATCGGCATATTCATCGTTATCACAATCGTTACCGCCATGAACAGCATCATAAGGATCATCATCAGTATCATCATCTTCATCATCACCATAAGTATCATCATCAGCAGCAGCATCGTCATTGTGATCGTCATCGTCATCGCCACAATCACCAGCATCGGCATCAGCAGCAGTATCATCACCATCATCATCACCATCATCATCACCATCATCACCATCATCATCAGCATCACCACCATCATCATCAGCAGCATCGCCATCGTCATCATCATCAGCATCATCCTCATCATCATTACCACCAGCATCATCACCATCATCGTCAACACAATCAGCTTCATCATTATCATCAGTATCACCATTACCATCAATCATCAGCATCGTCATCATCATAACCAGCATCCGCATCACCACCATCATAATATACATCGTCCCAATCAACATAGCATTCATAATCAATCACCATCACCATCTTAATCATAGTCATTAGCATAATCATACTCATCATCATCAGCAGCAGCAACAGCCTTATCAGCCGCATCATCGCCAGCAACGTCGCAACTAGCAACTAGCATCATGAACAGCATCAGCACCACCACCACCATCATCATCATCAGCAGTATCAGCCTCAACATCATCATCATCATCATCAGCAGCAGCATCATCATCATCAATCATCACCATCGTCATCATCGACGACAGCATCCCGTCGTCAACGTTATCAAGATCAGCATAATCATCACCATCATCATCAATGAAATAATAAACATCATCACCATCGTCGTCATCATCACCATCATTATCATCAGCAGCACCACCATCATCGTCATCATCATCATCATCATCATCATCATCATCATCATCATCATCCTCATCATCGCCACCATCATCATCACCATCATCATCAGCAGCAGCGTCATCATCGTCCTCATTGTCCCTCTTTCCCCTCTCCCAGCTCCAACTTCCCACCCCGAACCGCTCCTTCGGTGGTGACCCCTGGGCCCGAGAAGTTAGAGGGGGGCGCCCAAGTAGCCCAAGAACAGCGGGACACAAACTTCGTGACCCTTTTTCCAGGACCCTCAAGACCCGCTTATAGAGGAACAACACGCAGTAACCATAATTTCTCTGGGGTCCGCGGTGGTTTCCCGGATCGGCGCTGGACGCCCCCCCCTCCCTGGCGCCCGGAGTGGAGCGCGCCGGGAGGGGGGGCCAGAGGCGCCGCCAGGGGGGTCCAACGCCGATCCAAGAGATCCGCGCGGACCTCCGAGAACAAATGCTTGTGCCATTCGTCGTTTTTGAGGTCATCCTCCTTGCCGAACGCTGCGCAAAACGGACCTCAGGACCCCTCTGAGGGTCCAAGCCCAACCAGCCGTCCAACCAGTGCTGAGTCACGACCGGACCCCTCGACCGCATGTTTTTTTTTTGCGACATGTTCGGGCCGGGACCGAGCGATAACGTTCGTGCTCAACCAAAACAGCGCCCAAGCACCCGATGTTGAAGTCTGTCTACATCCGTGAGCCGTGAGCCTCACGGAGGCTTCGGTCCCATCGCCGCAAACAATTTGTCGTCCGATATCCACGTTTGACGGTCCCGGGGCGCTTTAAACGACCGCCCAGACTTGAATTGCTGGAAGCATGCACCAATGACTGCACAAATCTATTCGCCCAGGGTCTGGTCAACGATCGGTGGTCGAAGGCGGCGCAGCACACGGCGACGGCCCGATCAGTTGCCGCCGTGGCGCCGTACGGTTTCATGGTTCAACGATCGAACAGGGTGGAATCAGACGTGGCAAGCAGATGAAGGGGACGACCTCCCGGACCTGCCAAGGAAATCGCACTCCCAACGATTTCGGCTCAACACCTGTAAGATTGACTCATGAGACGCGCGGCCCTATGTTTGTGGTCTTCCAGATGTACAAGGTACATATAGATGCGGCGCGGTACACAGCAACGACTGTTGCCAAAAAGCCGACACCGACCGCTAGTGGGCATGCGGCTGTGTTCCTCGAGTTGACATCAATTGCGGCGACACCAGCGGCGTGCCAAATTCGAAATCGTGGATACACACTGTAGTCGGTCGTCGTACTAATATGGCGAAGATACCTGTGAAAATGCCGGTTCGTCATTTTAGAAACCATCGCTTGCGTTGCACATTCGGGGAGGACTATTTGTCCTATGACGCCGGTCTGCGTCGACTCCGCGTCGAATCCGTGTCGAACGTGTCGAATCCGCTTCGACTGCACATAGGATCGGCGTCGATACGGCGTCGATTACACGGCCCGTCCGCGCCGACCACGCGACGGACATCAGAAAATACCGACGATTGCAGTACAGAAGAGGTCCCTTGACGATGCAGCGAAACTGTCCTGTATGTGGTCGACCTCGAAAGGGGAAAACTTAGGCTTTCTGATTCCGACAAGCGCGCGCTGAGCGGTCGTGGCGCCGCGCGGCGGCGCCCGACGCCTCGAGAGGCGGTGCCCGGCTCAGGTGATTGCACCTATTTGCGGGGGGCTCACGTACACTCGGACCGAGGCCAGAAAAACATCCATCAAAAACATGCAACCCTCCGCCGGCGACTAAAACACAGAAAATCCATGTGCACCCTCCCCACAACGAACACGAACATTCAACAAACGCGAAGATCATGAAGGTACCCTCCCCGAGCCGGCCTCGATCATATACCTCGGTCCGACTTTACCCCTGGTGAGGTACCGCAACGGCCACGCTTCTGGCCACGGTGGGCGCTAAAGTCCCACCAGCCCTCTGGGCGTAGGTGGTTTAGGGCGTTTCCCTTTCCAACCTCATTCTTCCCCTTCGGGGAGGTATCTACCCCTCCCCCTAAACCCTCCCCCGGGCCTGAACGGGGGGTTTCGCGAGATGTCCGGGCGTCCAAAACGGCCTCGGCGAGGAAGCCCAAATCACTGGTTTCCCAAAAAGTGTTGGCCCCATGTTGGCCTCCTGAGGGGGGGGGCCCTAATTTGATCGATCTTACCCAAGATGGCCCAAAGATAGCCCCCAAGGCTCCCAAGGGTGCCCCAAGAGGGCCCCAAGAGGTGGCCAGGAAACCCAAAGAGGCCCCCAGGATGCCCCCAATAGGCTCCCAAGAGACCTCTAAGAGGCCCCGAGAGACCCCCCAGAGGCACCCAAGATGTTCCAAGAGGCCTCGGCAAGAATGCCATGTCATTGATTTTACTACGGTTTTAGCCAAATGTTGGCCCCTTGGGGTGGGGCACTGATTAAGATGACTCGTAGAACGCCTGGGAGAGCCCAAAATGACCGCCAAGATGGCTCAAAATATCCCAAAATGTCTCAGACTGGCTCCCACGATGCTCCAAGATGCCCCAAGACCGCTCCAAGACGGCTCCAAGTGGCCAAAGAGCTCCCACAGGAGGCCCCGAAGATGCCAAAACCTTAGGAAAGTCCATGTGGTTAGCTTTCTCGCCTTTTCGCTTCCGATGGCCATCCGAGGCCTCAATATGGTTTCAAGATGGCCCAAGAGGGCCCCAAGAGAGGCTCAAGAGAGCCCCAAGACGGCCCCAAGAGCGCCCAAGAGCGCTCCAAGAGCGCCCCAAGAGCTCCCCAAGAGGCTATGGTTTGGGTTCCCGAGGGGCAACGCAAACTAATGCTCGCTGCTTGTTTGATCGGTGTCCTCCAAGATGGCCCCAAGAGCGCCCCCAAGGCTGCCAAGGGCGCTTCAAGAGGGCCCCACGAGGCGCCCAGCAGGCCCCAACACGCGCCCAAGAGGCCTCCAAGATGCTCCCAAGAGACGCGCTCCGAGGCACCCAAGACGCTCCAAGAGGCCTCCACTGGGGGACCCTTCCTCTGTGTGCTGCCCACTTCCCTGATCGAGGAAATTCCTCTGGGCATCGTTTCTGGATGGGCTGGTGGGGTTACTTTTTTCCTCGCGGGCGCGAGCGGACGCGCAGGCGCCGAGTGGAAAGGTCCGGGCCACGGGCCGATCTAATTGGCAGCGCGCAAGCCGAGAAGCACAGCGACCGAGCCCGAAATCAGAACCTACCGCCGGTGGGGCAGCTGGCTGAGGCTGAGCTGGCTGAGCTAACTGCAAACGGCCAGGGTAGCAGATGCAAACGTGCGGGTGAATTAGGTCCTGCACGCCCGGAGATGCCGTGACCTGTTCTGTATCTACAGACCAGGCGTCGGCCAAGCGAGGCAGTGCCACCATACGGGCAAACCCGGGACGGCGGCCGACCAAGAACAGGGTCCGAGAGGTCTAGAATTCAGCCGCTGGGCGTCCCGACGCGACGCGGGCTCCCTAAAACACACTCTCAAGGGTACTACCGTCCTCTCTGGGGGGCGGTTGGCCTCCCGTGAAAGTTGAGACGGCGGGTTGTTGCGAGAAGTGCCCCTGGCCCAACTTTGGGAGACCACTACTGGAAACCCTGGATCTACAGGCCTCCTGAGTGGGGTCGCAGTAGATGGGGTCGGAGGATCGCACCGCATCGCCGAAGCATCGGCGATGCATCGGCGATGCACCGTCGATGCACCGTCGACGAGGATGATGCATTGGCCACGTCGGAGTGGAGGAAGTCGGGCTCCGCATCGAGCCGCGTGGCCGTTACGTCGGCGACGGGGCGCGATCCTCCGACCCCATCAAGTCGGGGTGGGCCTGTTGCGAGAAGTGCCCCTGGCCCAGGGTTGGGAGGCCACCACAGTCGGGGCCCGACCACAAGAAACCTTCCACAAGAAACCCAAACCCAACCCTGAGACCACAGGACGTCCACTGACTTCTGGTGTGGGAACTTCACGCTTCCCGTCGCAAGACCATCGAGACCCAAGACGCCCCGGGCACCCCGCAGGCGAGCAGGGTGCTTCTTGGCATGGGCATCCACGGGCACTGGGATTCGAAGACCTCAGGGATCTCAAGGATCTACGATTTGGGTCCGCGGGGGCGACCAGTGGAGACCCCGCGGCGGCAGCTCTCGATAGATTAGTTCTTTTATCGATCAATACATATATATACACATAAATAATTACAGTTTACTTGTTTATTTCTACTATATGTGTGTACATATCGCTTTTATATCTTTTCATACCCCAAAAAAACCGTTGCGGGACATCTGGAAGAACAGCGCCATGTCGAGACCACGGCGGCGGCCCTGCCAAGACCAACAATTGCTCGGCCCCCGGGACCCCTGCGGTGGTCCCTCCCAGCCCCCCTGCTCCACTGCTCGTAAAGCCACTGCTCGAAAAGCCACTGCTCGCAAATGGCCTCCCTCCGCCGTGGGGGATCTACGACATAGTAACTCGGGGCGACCGTGGGCTATTCTTCGGACGTGTGCGAGCAGGCCCCTTGCGAGCAGTGGAACGCGCTCGGGGGCCCTTGACGAAATGGGGGCCTCCTAGATGGGGTCGGAGTAGAAGATGGGGTCGGAGGCTCGAGCCGCATCGCCGACACATCGGCGATGCATCGGCGATGCATCGGCGATACATCGTCGACGTGGGCGATCCATCGGCGACGTCGGCGTGGAGGACATCGGGCTCCGCATCGAGCCGCATCGCCGATACATCGGCCATGCGGCGCGATCCTCCGACCCCATGTGCTCCGACCCCATCCAAGAGGCCCAGACTACAGCCCAGACGCAGACGTGGCGACGCGAGAAGCCTCCGGGCCGGGCACAGGACCACGGCCGCTGGGAGGTGCCGCCGTGGAGTCGCCCGGCCCGCGGGGGGCCCTGAGGGCAGGCATGCGCGTCTCGAGGTGCCCAACGCCCGCTGGCGTCGGAAGCCACCGCGCCGGCGAGCCAAGGGCGACGGGCGAACGCCAGCCGCTTCTGGCATCCTCGATCTCCTGCGACGAGTGGAGGTCAGCCGCTCGAAACATCCAAAAGCTCGACTGGCTCTCCACTGGCTCGGCTGGGACGGGATCAGGCATGCTGGGTGCTCGGCGAGGGCTGGCACGCCCAGGCTTTCCTGTGCGGGTGTCAAGGACCAGCATCCGATGACGGCGGACACCGAGCGCAGAGTCGAAGACGGATGTTCGCAGACTGCTCTCGCCTTGCGCAGACAGCCGACCGATTTGCGACGACAAATTGATGAGTTCGGCAAAGTGCCGACACGCGAAGTGCGTGGTCGCCTGCCGACGTGCAGCGCACACTTCACGTTTTCATGCAGGTTGCAAATCGAATCCTTCGGAATCCACCCCTCGGGCCAAAGCCGCCCGCCCCCCAAACCACGGCGGCTCCGGGGCCGCCTTGGCGCCCCCAGGCGACGACGGCGGGCCCGCGTGCCGCCTCGGCAGGGCGGGCGGGGGGGGAGGCGCCCTCGCCGTCGGCGCGCTCGTCGTCATAGTCGTCGTCATAGTCGTCGCCGTCGTCGTCGGTGTCGTTGGCGGCGGAGTCGGCGGCGGCGGCGACGTCGTCGACGATGCCGCCGCCGTCGGCGTCGTCGTCGGCCTCGTCGGCGGGGCAAATGGCCTCTTCGTCGTCGTCATCGGTGTCGTTGGCGGCGACGGCGTCATCGGCGTCGTGGTCGGAGTTGTCGTCGTCGTCGTCGTCGTCGTCGTCGTCGTCGTCGGGGGCGGCGGCAGCGTCGTCATCGGCGTCGTGGTCGGAGTTGTCGTCGTCGTCGTAGTCGTCGTAGGGGGCGGCGGCGGCGTCGTCGTCATCGGCGTCGGCGGCGTCGTCGTCGTTGTCGTCGGCGTCGTCGGTGTCACCGCCGTCGTCGTCGTTGTCATCGTCGTCGGCAACATCGTCGTCGTCGTCGGTGTCCTCGGTGTCGTCGTCGTCGTCGTCGTCGTCGTCGGCTGGGGCGTCGTCGTCGTCGGCGGCGGCGTCGGCGGCGGCATCATCGTCGTCGTGGCGTCGGCGTCGTCGTTGTCAACGGAATCGTCGTCGTCGGCGTCGACATCATCGGCGGCGGCGTCGCCGTCGTCGTCGTCGGAGTCAACGAGAACGTCGTCATCGGCGTCGACGGCGGCAGTGGTGTTGTCGGTGTCGTCGTCGGAGTCGGCGTCGGCGGCAGCAGAGACGTCGTCACCCTCTGCGGCGCCATCGACGTCGTCGCCGTCGTCGTCGGCAGCGTCGGCGGCGGCATCAGCGTCGTCGTCGGCGTCGTCGTCGTCGATTGTCGTCGTCCCTGGCGTCGTCATCGGGTGCGGCCGTGCCGTCGTCGTCGTCGTCGGCGGCGGCGTCGTCGACGGCGCCGTCGTCGTCGGCGTCGTCGGCGGCGTCAGCGTCATCGGCGTCGTCGTCGTCGGCGGTGACGTTGTCGTCGCCGTCGGCGTCTGATCGTCGTCGGCGTCGTCGTCGGCTGCGTCGGCGACGTCGGCGGCGTCGTCGTCGTTCCCCCCGTCGGCGGTCGTAAGTCATCGCTTGTGCGTCGTCCTTCGTCCGTCGTTGGCGAAGGCGTCGTCGTCGTCGGGGTCGTCGGGGTCGGCGTCGTCGTCGTCGACGCCGTCGTCGTCATCTCCGTCTTGCCGTCTGATCTTCGCCGCGTCGTGGTCGGAGGAGGTGGAGGAGGAAGAAGAGGAGGAGAAAAAGGAAAAGGAGGAGAGAGGAGGAGGACGAGGACGACGACGACGACGGCTGCAGCGGCGTCGTCGTGGTCGTGGTCGTGGTGTCGTCGGCGGCGTCGGCGGCGGCGACGTCGTCGGCGGCGGCAGCGGCGTCGTGGTCGTCGACGGCGTCGTCGTCGGCGTCGTCGACGGCGCCGCCTGAGGGTTGTCGGAGGAGGAGAAAGACGAGGAAAAAGAAAGATAAAGGAGAAGGAGGAGAGAAGAAGAGGATGAGGATGAGGAGGAGGAGAAAAACGACGTCGTCGTCGTCGGCGGGGTCGGAAGCGGCGTCGGCGTTGCCGTCGGCGTCTTCATCGTCGTCTCGTCTTCTTGTCGTAGTCAGTCAGTTGACGAAGGAGGCGGAAGAAGAGGCGGCGAAGGGAAGACAGAGAAGAAGATCGAGGAGGAGGAGGAAAGAGAAAAGGGAGGAAGACGACGACAACGACGACGACGTCATCAACGGCGTCGTCGTCGTCGCCAGCGGTGGCGGCGGTGGCGGCCGCGTCGGCGACGTCGGCGACGTCTGCGTCGGCGTCGGCGTCGGCGGCGGCGTCGGCGTCGGCCTCAGCGTCGTCGTGGGCGACGTCATCGGCACCGTCGTCGTCGTCGTCGTCGTCGGGAGCGGCGGCGTCGGCAGAGTCGGCGTCGGCGTCGCCGTCGACGCCGCCGTCGCCGCCGCCGCCAGCGCCGCCGCCGCCGTCGTCGTCGGCCTCGCCGTCGTCAGCGGCGGCGGCGTCGGCGACGGCGGCGGCGTTGGCGTCGGCGTCGTCGTCGGCGCCGTGGTCGGCGGCGTCTTCGTCATCGTCGTCGTCATCGTCATCGTCATTGTCATCGTCATCTTCGTCATCGTCGTCGTCGTTTTCGGCGGAGGTGGCGTCGGAGTCGGCATCGGCGTCGACGAGTGCGCCGCCGCCGCAGCCGCCACCGCCGCCGCCGCCAACGACGGCGTCGGCGTCTGCGGCGTCGTCGTCGTCGTCGGCGGCCACGGCAGCGACGGCGGCGTCGGCGACGTCGTCGGCGGCGGCATTGGCGGCGGCGGAGGCGTCGACGTCGGCATCGTCGTCGGCGTCTGTGTCGGCATCATCGTCGTCGTCGTCGCCGGCGGCGTCGTCCTGTCGTTGTCGGAGGAGGAGGAGGAGGAGGAGGAGGAGGAGGCGGATCAAGAAGGAGAAGTCAGGCTGAGGAGCGAGGAGCGAAGATGAGGAGGAAATAGCAGGATACATAGAGGAAAGAAGAGCAAGCCAAGCGCCCACGTGCCACCCGTCCCGTTACCCCTGCACTGAGTCCTTGCCTATGCGGCGGCCAGGGCTATCCTGCAGGACCCCTGGATCCCCAAATTTCAGTTGCAGGAATAGACCCATGAGGGAGAAACCAGCGGGGAGGAGAGGGACGGATTGAGGGAGGGGGAGGGGCGGAGGGGGAGGGAGCTGGGAGGAGAGGACGGGAGGAGGGAGGGATTGAAAGGAGACACCGGCAGGGGGCGGGGGGGAGCAGAGATGGAAGGCGTCACCCTGCCTGTGCCTTCCGCTCGTGCCGTCCAGCTCCGCCGCCCCCCCCCCCACCTCCGCGCGCGCGCAGCGTACCCCCAGCGGAAAGCTCGCCTGAGCTCATCTGATTTCTCCTCCTCCTCCTCGGTCCTCCTCCTCCTCCTCCTCCTCCTCCCCCTCCTCCTCTTCCTCCTCCTCCTCCTCCTCCTCCTCCTCCGCCTACGGTCCGACTTGATTGGACAGGACACGCGAGAGGACACAAGACCCTTCCGAGGGCCACACTGCCATAGGAATGTAGGAGCCATGGGTCGCGAGATACAGGACACAAGGGTACCCTTGATTTGGCAGGATGGACCTGCTCATCAGTGCCGACTCTACACCTCGTTGTCGTGCAGATGCTCAGCTCAAAATCGACCTCATACCATGACTTGATTGAAGATCGTCGTCGACTCCCCTCTCCTCGGAGCCCCAGAGCATCTGGCGCAACAGGTCCGACGATGCGAAACTCAGCAAAACAGAAAAAATGCAAGAGAAGAGAACAGCTCAAGAGGCAGGGACGGGCCGACCTGCCCCCTGCTTGGTGGAGCGACTCCATCTCTTGAAAAAATGGCCTCCCTCCTCGGACAAAAAAACGAAGATCCGAATGAGGAGGAGGATGACGAGAGAGGAGAGGAGAGGAGAGGAAGGATTACGATAATGAAGAGCGGAGAAGGATTAGCAGGGGGAGAAAGAGTCTCCAATCTCCAACCAGGTCACCCCTCCACCCTCTCCTGCCTCCCCCCTCCCCTGCACTCCCCTCACATCCACATCCTCCACCTCATCCTTCCCCCTTTTCCCTCTCCCCCTCCGTTTCCGCTCCGCTACCCCTTGCCCACTCCTCCTCCTCCTACTCATCCTTCCCCACCCGACGATGACGACGACGACGATGACGACGACGACGACGACGACGGACGACGGACGGCGGACGACCGACAACAGCGACGGACTACGGACGACGGACGACGGACGACGAACGACGGACGACGGACGTCAGACGACTGACGGCCGACGGACGACCGACCGACGGACGACGGACGACCGACGACCGACAACCGACGACCGACCGACGACCGACAACCGCCGACTGACGACCGATGACCGACCGACGACCAACGACCGACGACATACGACCGACGACAACGACGACGACGAGGACGACGACGACGACGGACGACGACGCATAACGGACGCCAGACGCAGGACGCCAGACCGCCGACGACCAACGACGGACGACCGACAACCGACCACCGACCGACGGACGACGGACGACGGACCGATGACCGTCGACCGACGACGACCGAGAACGACGACGACGACGACGACGACGACGACGAAGACGACACCGACGACGACTTCGGCGGCGACGACGACGACGACGACGTCCGATACCGCTACTCCCCAAAGCTCTCGTCGCTGGAGGGCGTCCTGAGAGCTTTTTCTCAATTCGCGGCCATAAGAGGCATTAAAGAGGGGGAGGCGAAGGGGGGGGGCATAATTTACGTAACGCTCCCCCCGCCGTGTGGTTCCGGCACCACGGCACCTGTGCGCATCACAACAAGAAGCAAGAGTCACAGTGCGCAGCACAGTATGCACCGCCGCAGACGTGTGCATCAATCGCCTATGCACTGCGCAGTGAGTACGTGCAGCGCTATAGTATCTTTTCCCCCACATCCTCCTTCGAGCATCATACTGTGCTGGTGCTGACTGGAAGATGAGGGCGCCCGAGCGCTGGACGACGACGACGACGACGACGATTACGACAACGACGACGACGATAACGATGACGACGAGAACGAGGACGGGGATGTGGATGGGGACGAGGACGACGACGAGAACGAGGACAAAGAAGAGGACGAAGACGATGACGCGGACGAGGGCGGGGACGACGAGGATAAGGACGATGACGGCGACGACGGACGCCTCTGGAGGTCTAAGGAGGTCTGCGGAGGCCGAAGGAAGGTCCAAGTGGCCTCTAGATGCGCTGGAGGCCCTTCGAGGCCCTCGGCGACGATGAGGATGACGAGGACGAGGACGAAGACGACGACGAGGAAGAGGACGACGACAGGGACGAGACAAGGGCGGGGACACCGACGAGGACAACAATGACGACGAGGACGAGGACGAGGACAAGGATGAGGACGAGAACGAGGACGAGGACAACGACGATGTGGAAAACGACGACGACTACGACGACGACAACGCCGACAACGATGAAGACGACGCCGACGACGACAAGGACGACGACCAGGACCAAGGACGACGAAGACGACGAGGACGACGACGACGAGGACGACGACGATGGCCGCCTCTGGAGATCGCTGGAGGTCTTCAGAGGCCTAAGGAGGTCTCCAGAGACCTCTGGAGGCCTCGGGAGGCCCTTCGAGGCCGTTTGCGACGACAACGACGACGACGACGACGACGGAACCGACGACGACGACGACGACGACGACGACGACGGACGACGGACGACGGAAACGACGATGACGAAGGCGAAGACGACGATAACGACGACGACGACGACCGCCACGAGGACGAGAAGGCCGAAGACGACGACGACGACCACGACAGCGACGAGGACGACGATAACCGCGACGAGGACGAGGAGGCCGAGGACGACGACGACGACAGGGACGAAGACAGGGCCGGGACGACGACGACGATGACAACGACTAAAACGACGATCGCGACGACGACGTCGACGACGACGACCCCGCCGCCGACGACGACGACAACGACAACAACGAAGACGACAACATGGACAACAACGACGACGTCGACGACGAGCACGTGGACGAGAACGAGAGACAACGACGACGACGACGACGACGACGGCGGCCGCCTCTGACGTCCTACAGAGGTCTCCTGAGGACTCAGGAGATCTCCAGAGGCCTCTGCAGGCCCTGGCAGGTCCCTGGACACGACAACAAACGTCAAAGTAGATTGCAAGCACCACAGTAGCCCGCGAGCATCACAATGGCAGTGCCAGAGGCGCACTGCGGTGGAGAGGGGTGGGGAGCATTACGTTATGGAGGGGGTGAAGGGGGAGAGGGGGGGCATGCCCCTCGTTATGGCCCAGAGGGTTACAAAAACACGCCCTAACCGGGATCTTGGGGCAACGCTAGCAGTGGCAACGAGGGGGGCCCCAGAAGGGCCAGTGAAGCACCCAAAGGTCCTTACCCTGGACCTAAAGGAAGGCCTACCCCAATGCCCTGCCCGATAGGCCGGTTCAATTGGTTTACCCTAAGCCTATCCTGAGGTCTTTCTATCGAGTGTACTCTAGGCCTCCAACCGAGACCCTCCCTCTGGGCCTACCCCAGGCTTACCCAGAGGCCCTTCCTCTAGGTCGACCCAGGGCCTATGCACAGACCCTAACAAGGGAAGGACAGACCCATCAGGATCTTCTGGCCCTCTAGGCGGAGCCGGCGGCGGCGGCGACGGGGACGAGAGACGCCCGAGGGGCAGGCCCTGGAGGACCAGGCGACAGCGGCGCGGCCAGCATGCCCTGCCCGCAGCCCGCGGTCGCGGGTCGCCCGACATCGTCGAACGTGGGAGCATCAAGGATCGAGGCTCGTTCTGCTGTTCGCACGTGCTTGGCCTCCGCAGGCCTCCTGGGGCCTCTGCTGAAGCCTCTGGAGGACGCAGGTGGTCTCGCCTCGAGGCAGCTTCTTTCGACCCCGGCGAGTTCGCCTGCATGGAGGGGGAGGGGTGGACGAGATCTGATCTTCACGCAGAGCCGGCCCAAGTTGCACGCCTGCTCGTCCGAGCACCGTTTGCGCAAGGCGGCGGAAGGGGGGAAGGAGGAAATGCCATGCAGGTCAACTTGCCTGACGCCGCAGAACAACGATCGTCGTTGTCGTCGTCAGGCCTTGGTGGGCCTCGGGGGGAGGGAGCGCCCCGGTCACCGCGGCTCGCTCCGCCCCGAGATCTCTTGCTAGAACCTGCCGCTCCGCCTTCGCGTCCGCGGGGGTCGTCGATATCGCCGGCCATTGGGCGTGGCTTAATGGGGGGGTCACAAATGGGGGGGTCAGAAAAGGTCCCCTTTCGTGCCCCTTTCGGGCCCCTCCGGAGCCGCGGGGGGCTCGTTCAGGTACCGTTTGGGTACCTTTTTCGGACCACCCTCGCCACCCCCCCATCTACGACCCCCCCATTGCGCAACGCCCAAGGCCACCGTGGTGTCGTCGCCGCCGGCGACGCAGCCGCCGCCATCCTCGCCGACGTCCGTCGTCGGAGGTCGCGCGGCCCCAGGCCACGCCGAGTCGGCACCTTTCGGCCGCAGGAGGCGGCCATGGTCCGGCCTCGTCCGCCGTCGCCGCAGCCGCCGTCTTCGTCGTCGCCCGCAGAGGGACCCAGGGACACACACACAGAAGTAGACACAGCTCCCAGGATCCCTTATATGCTTCTCCATGTTGATTCTGGATTTTTATCCTGCCCTCTAATGCCCACACTTTTCCATATCTCCCTGGAGACCGACGGTTAAAGTGGGTCTGCGCGTGTTTTTGCTCCCTGCCGAATGCAGGGGTCTATGACTCGGCACCACCACCGTCGCGAGGAGCCGGAGCGAGGTTCGTCCGGGTGGCTTGGCCCCTTCACTGTCTTGTGGCGCCCCCGCACGCCACACCTCCCATCCCGACCCCAGTTAGGAGGCAACTACTGGAAGATCTTCAATCCAACGCTTAAAAAGAGTTGGGCCCCATTGGAGGGCTGCTATGCCAGGTTAGGCAACGGATTAAGCGGGATTGAGCCAGATTAAGCGGGATTAAGCCAGATCAAGCGGGATCAAGCCGAATTATGTCGGATTTCGGACAAGGCCACAATCAGAATTTGACCTCTAAGGAGTTACATCCGAACCGTCTTGAAGCGTCCCTGCACGCGAAAACTGCCATCCTCAGCCCAGGGAGGCATCGCAGACCTCCCGGCCAAAGGCGGCCCCCTCCCAGAGAGATCCGCCACCGGGCCCCCTGGCACGTGGAGGCGTGCAAGAATGACGAGGTCTGCCTGGTGGGCTTTGTTCTTGATCCTCTATTCCACTCGTGCCCGCTGGAGAACGGTGCACTTCCCTCATGGCAGCTAATGCCTGAACCTTCATTCGATGCGCGCCAGCTTGAAAATTATGGAGTTCCCGCATTGCTGCTAACTCTAGGATCGCGCACTTCCCAGATTTCCAAGCGCTGCTCCCAAGCGCTCCAGGGCCTGCCACGGCACCATCCCCCATTAAAAACGACGGACGGGCGTTCTGAGGTTGCAAGACGGCCCGTGCAGGCAACCAAGGACACCAAGATGTCTCAAAATGTATCGAAAAAGGCCCATCATGGCCCCAAGGAGGCCGAATCTTGATTCAAGACAGCCCAAGATGCCTCCAAGAGGGCCCAACATGAACACACAAGGACCTCCCACAGGGTCAGAAGAAGCCAAATTCATTGATTTCGCTAAGGTGTGTTGCATGATTTTCGCGTTCTCGCCTTTTCGGGCTGCCGCCAGCTCAAGACGGCCCCAAGACGACCCAGAATAGCCTCCTGTGAACCACGGACGGCCTCAGAAGGCCCTTGGACAGCCTAAGCGGCGCCAAGATGGCCCGCGACGACCAGAAGCCACATACGGTCAAGAGGGCCCGAAGACGGCCCAACGGAGCTCCCAGCTGGCGTAAGAGGGCTCAAAGACGGCCCAAGAGGGCCGAAAGGCACCCCACAGACTGCCCTCCAGGAGGCCAGCCCCACCTCAAGAAGGCCAAACGAGTGTCATCATCATTATCATCATCATCATCATCATCATCACCACCACCATCACCACTACTACCAACAGCACCACATACACCACAACCACCATCACCATCACTATCACCATCACCACCGCCACCATCATCATCACCACCACCACTACCCTCATCATCATCATCATCATCATCATCATCATCATCATCATCATCATCATCACCATCATCACCATCACAATCACCATCAGCATCACCATCACCATCACCATCACCAGCATCATCGTCATCATCATCATCATCATCCTCATCATCCTCATTATTACCACGACGTCGGCGGTGTATCGGCGACGCCGGCGTGGACATCGAGCCGCATCGCCGATGCATCGACGATGAGGAGCAATCCTCCGACCCCATCTACTCCGATCCAATCTAGGATGCCTAGATTAGTGGGCAACTACTGGGCGGTCTTCGTCGGAAAGATTGGGGGGAAAAGAAACCCATCGGGGGGCTAATACGCGCGAGTAGGCCGCGGATTAGCCTGGAATTAAAACGGATTAAGCGGCACTAAGCCGGATCAAGCGGGATGAAGACCAAATTAACTCAGAATTGGACCTCTCAGGAGTTGCATCCGAAAATCGGAGAGGCGTAGAGTCGTGCGTCACGCGCCCAGGGGACACGACTGACAAGAAGAAATAGACTCGCCATCGCTCGGACGTCCACATTCCCCATGCCATTTTCGGCTCGGTGCGCATGTTTGTGTCGCAGGATGGCCCTGAGGCTCCTCGATGGTCCACCCCGAGCATCGTGCACACGCACGAGCGACGCCAAGTACGGGCGCAACCAGGAACCCTCGGAGCTCCGCGCCGAGTTCTTGGAGATCCACGAGGGCTCGCCCCATCCCCGGCGAGAGCAGCGCGCCGCGCCGGGCGGCGGCACCACAAGGCGCCGCCGGAGGGGAGGTGACGGGGGTACCCGTGATTTGGCAGGGTCGACCCACAAATCCAGGCCGACTGTAGGTTCGTGCGGCGTCGACACGCGCAAATGTTTTTGACACTGCGTCGACCTTTCACCCTTGACTCGGTCGCGGCCCTGATCTTTCAAGGCCGAATTCCGTCGAGTCCAGTGGCGTCACCGTTTCCCTCGGTGCCTCGTCGCAGAATTCGACCTTGAACGCCTTCGCTGGCGTCGCGAGCGCGCCAGACCGTACCCGTCTGTCGAAGCACGTGGTTAGAAACGTCAAGTAGGAAGCCGCTGCAGGCAGATTGGGTGCCCGCTCACCCCCTGAAGAGGAGGGAAGAGGGCAAACCACTCGACTCTTGGAAGTGGGAAGGTGGCTAAAGCATGTGGGGATCCTGAAATCCACAAACACCTGAAGTCGGCCTCGATTGGACAGGACACGCGAGAGGACACAAGACCCTACCGAGGGCCACATCGCCATTGGAGTGTAAGAAGGCACGCGTCGCGAGGCACAGGACAGAAGGACACCCTTGAGCTGGCAGGGTCGACCTACTAATCTGGGCCGCCTGTACTTCTAACGACCGACGTGTGTCTGCAGCTTCTCTTCTTCGAACGAGGCCGCCGCCCCTGAGGGGGACATCCGGTGTCGGCGGCGCGGGGCCCTCATGCCCGTCCGGGCGGGGCGGGGCACCTTTGGGATCCCTGCCCCCCGTGCCTCCTCGAGCCTCCGCCTGGTCTTAGGTCGGGCATGTCCCCCTCCAGGCGGATCTGGGGCGAATCATATGACAAATACTCAAACCAGTACACCAAACATAATCAAACATAATTTTTGACAATCGTCCCCAGAATCGTTTTTTTTGACTATTTTGGTATATTCCTCCTGTAGAGGGACAGGCCCGACCTAAACCCAGTCGGCGTCGTGCCCAGAAGTCTCTGATCGCTGGGCTCCGCCGAAGGAGACGGGTGCGTCTCCCCCACGGGCACCGTGGCCTGCCAGAGTCTCTGATTGTACCCTTCCGGGTGGATTTGCTCTTGTATTCATTGTCAATGTTTCGCTCTCCTCCTCCCCCTTCTCGCCTTATGTTGTTCCCATCGTACTTAAGGACCACATCCCAGAAATAATTTCGAGCACCCAAAAAAGTATCGAAACATTGTCGAACGCGTATCGTCTCCCAGGGCCCGACACGTGAGCAACCTCCAGTTTCGGTACTTTCTGGGTGCTCAAAATTCATTCTGGTGATCCAGGCTCAAGTAGGTTGGAACATCATGACCCTCGCCCTCCTCCTCCTCCTCCTGGCGATCTCCTCCCCTCTGCCGTCGGGGGGGCGCGAGCGTCTCACCGATCGGAGCAGGGCGAGTCGAGACGCTCAACATCGGTCTCTGGACCAATCCCGGGGTCCGAACGTACCAATTTTCCGAGCTGCGTCCAGCCGTGGCGACGAGGGGTCTCCCCAAGGGCCACCTATCGCTGTCTCAACACGCCCTCCTCTGAGTCTGCTGCATGGGCTCCTGCAGCAGCCCGACAAATCGCGAAAAAATCCGCTTGGAAGCAGAGGCGCCATCTTTCTGATGCAGTTTTCGAACTGGATCGCTCTGTGAGGGTCCCGGGGCCCGAAACCGGACCCAGTGCAACAAAAAGAAGAAGCAACACCCAGATTTGAGGGGCCCCACGAAGGCCAAGTACCAGGCTCCTTTACTTCAGACGTGGGTGACTTTTGCATGGCGTGTCCAGGCCCCCTCCTCCGCCGCCTTTTCAAAAAGCGCTGTGCCGAAAAAGCGTGCGTGCAAGTCAATCTCGACTTGCATGGAGTTCTGATATTTCCCCACATCCT